TGGTTTAAGATGTAGCATAAAAAATAATTGAATAAATATATAAAGTGCTGACCAGTTTTGATGGCGTATTTGAGAGTCGCGCGGCAGCTGATCAAGATGTCATCCAGTGTGGCCGGCTCATCCTGCAGCTCCCAGTTGTTGAGCTGCAGCAGCTCGTTGGGATAATGAAAATCGATCACTTTAGTTTCCCGGTCGAAGGACTCGACTATGTAGGCCAGTAAAATATCCACGACCTCCTGCAGGAAGGTCATCGTTTTTGTGTCTCCGTCCGTTGCAGGCAGCAGGTCTGAGAGCATTGGAAAATGTAAATGAAATGTAACTTTATCTAAGACAGATTATATCTAGATGTGATGGAATTCGTGAGTTAAAAAATTTTCAAACTGGATTTTGTTGTTAAACTATCCACCTTTTTACACAACAAAACAATACAGACATTTGGGTTTCAAAAAGGTTATTTTTTTTATACCTCTTTTTCTTAACATCCTACAGAAGATCAGACTTAGGTGAAGGTGACCTCTGAGGGAAAAAAGAACCCCCCTCAAAAACTATTAAAAATATGTAAAAATACGTCCATTATTTGATTTTTAAACAGAAACATTTTTCATTTATTTATGTCTTTAGTACAATTATAGCTTTTATATTTTATTCAAACGAATAGTTTCACATTATTATAAAGGCCTGGTATTTTTTTAAATAACAAATAATTTCTTTTGAACCCTCTATAGACTATTATGGCTTGGAGGAAAAAAGGGCCTTGATTTTAAAATATTTGGCTTATTAAATATGAGTGACAGTTTAAACAAAGGGAATTGATTTTTCGTTGTGTAATTAAAATGCTACTGTTTTTCTCGGATTAGATTATTCAGTTTTGCAGCATTTGCAGTTTATACCTGTTGAATAGAGGTCTGAGAAGCCCACATCCACGCCTTTGGTGCAGGTGCAGGCTTTGTTGCAGCCGCAGCTACCCGCGGCGGGCTGCGGCGGCTGCTTGGCTGCCGGCTCGGCGGGTTTCTCCACCTCCCCGACATTCAGCAGCGCTATCGGCATGAAAATTATAACAAATAATATGCAAAATAAATAAATAAACGAATAAAAAGAAAACGGGAAAAAAAAAAAAAAACAACAACAACAGAATAAACACCCTATAACAGTCTGCAGGCCATGCATGAGATAAAAAAAAAAACACCAGATTCATTGCAGACATACCACATAATTTTGATCCAAACCCTCCGGGTAATTTCTGGGCAGCTGCTTGGCACCAAGCCCTTGCTGGAAGAAATATGAGAATGTGCACACTTCAGATTATTTCTGAAACTTTATTTTAAAGGTAAGAAAATAAAATGTTTAGGATCAATTTAAAAAGCGTCCTCTTTGAGTGCAAAAAGAAGAAGTGAAGGATCGGGCCTGTCTGCTTCTTTTAGACAAAGCGTTGGCATGACTGGTTCGGCTCCAATGAGGTTTCCGTGAAGCCCTCCAAAAAAAAATTAGACCAAAAGCCACTCACTGGTACTGGGGCTCTGGCTCCCGGTGTTGGCCCCCGCATTATCCCCGCCGAGGGACCAAAAGCCGTGTGAAGCCATTTGTCGCCGGTGGTTAGGAGCTGCAGGAGACGCGGGCGGCAGACGCAGAGCCCATCCACGCGGAGCTGTCCACGGCCGCTGTGGTGCTGAATGTGAGCAGAGAGCTCTCTGCGCGCCTACAGACGCAGCCGCGCATCCGACTCACCGCTCCGTGCGGCGGGGGAGAGCGTCAAAGACACAAAACACAAAGAGAGTCCACAGGTGCAGGAGGCATGGAGCAGAGTGTGCGCATAAAAATCCGCAAAAAAGCGCTTTTTTCAGTTGGCGCAGGCGCTCTCTAAATGCATAAGAAACAGAGGAGTAGCTATGAGGAAGTTCTGAATTCAGGAACTGTTTCAAGGTTACCTTACACCTTTTCAGACACAAAGAAAAGCACAAACAAACACACAGAGAAAAAAAAATCAAGTGTTGATGTGGAGAAAAACATCCAGAGCTGTCTGTAAATATGCAACACCAGCCTTGCCGAAAAAATCAGGTCAGCAAAGAAATCCCTGCGTGAATCACTTCAGGGTCATGACGAACCGCGTTGCGTCGTGCGTCGTGACTCCGTCCACCCCCAACATTTTGTCCCTCATGATCGCTTAACTTACCCTCCGCACAGGCACAGAATGCCAACTAATTCATCTGCCCGGCAATTACAGACCTATTTCTTTGGCGAGCGGCTGCTCTAATTGCCCGCCTCCAGAGGAGGAAACTGTGGGCGGGGAGGAGAGGAGAGGAGCTCTGTTCGAAAACACAAAACAGCAGGCTCATCCTGCTCTGTTGTTGCGAATTCGCGTCTAAAATATTCAGAACATATTTACTTTAAGAGCGGCCCTGATTGTTGCAGTTATTAATGCAAAAGATGTAATTTTTTCTTAAAGAAAACAAAATTTCATTTTTCCAATATTCCATATTCCATAGTTCTTCAAACTACTTTGAATACCCCTATAATATTAATTATAATCATAGTAAATCCAAATTACAAGCTGAGAGAAGTTTAAAAATATTGGTTATTTTTAGATGTAGAAACAATTCAAGTGGATTTTTGTTTTAAAGCTTTTATTAACTAAACCTGTCAGGTTCTAACATTTACAAATTTTGTAAGAGTTTTTCCTCTATTTATGGGTTCTTGTAATTCTTGAGCTTTTCTCTCAATTCAATCCCCTAACCTGTAAAAGTTCTGTGATAGCATTTTTCTTCATTATGAGGTTGTATATGACTTTTCCATGACTTTCACAAAATTCAACAGAAGAAATTAAATACTCATTTTTGGCTGTAATCCTGCTTTTTACAGTAAGTGACAAAACTGGTTTTCTATTTTAGAACTCTATTACTCCACAATGTGTTAAGGGAAATGCTCAAATAATGTTTATTCCCTTCAGTTTGTGATTTTATCTAGAAAGCAGATTAGGTTTTAATATGTTCCTTTTAAATTTAATTAAAAAAATAATGATAAGTGATAATATCCTGCACTTTAGGCTTCAAACACACACACTATTCCTAAATGTTCTAATTTTAACAACATATGTCCATAGTTTCATCTCTAGAAATACATTACAATACTAGCGAAACTTTGTCTACTTCTATGGAGCTTAAAATCTCATTTAAAATCAACCCATAATACAGAGTTTACACTTCCTCACTGCATTTAACCTGTGAATCTTTTGAAATTGCCATCAATGTTTAAATTTTTTTTTAAAGTAAGTATGTCCCAAGTGAAATAGACCTTGTCACGATTGCTACAATACACCTTATGTCCCCTCTTTGAAGTGTGTTCTTGGTAGAGTGCATTTAAGGGTTTCAGAATTGGGACAACAGGTTTTTAATAAACTTGCACCTCTGTCCTAACTGTGACATCCAAAAAGGTGGACCTGTCAATGTTTTTGCTATCCTACAGCTAGAAACTATTTTAAAACTACAAAAAGTTTGATATTTTCACATGCAAATATGAATTATTTCAATTATTCCAATGTTTTTCACATTTCTTCAGCACTGAACTTCCCATCACTGCCTTATTTTTGACTTTTTGCAACACACAACATAAGTGAATGGTGGGTAATATACTTTAACATATTTTGCTTAGATGCACTGTTGCAAATGTGTCTGGAAGAAAAAACACTATAGATAACTGAGACCGATTGTGCACTTGAACCCATTATTGGAAACATTCAATTTAGGGAAACAACGGTGGAAGTTCATGTATCAAAACATGGCCATAAAAAGTGGGAATCACCATAACAAAGAGTGACTCAGCATTTTATGGGATTCTAGTAATTCAAATACATTACAGTCCTATTTTTTGTGATCTTTTAATTGATTCCTAACATGGCTTTGTCAGTGACTTACTTTAAATGTTTTTATTTCAATTAAGCTTAGTAACATCTCAACAGCTTATCAAAATAAGAATTTAAGTCCAGAATTTAAAACGTAAAACAATGAACATCAGCAAAGACTACCATAACAATTATAACAAAAGAATACAAAGTTAATAACTTAACACTGAATCTAGACTAATTTCCTATTTAGGCTATCAATAGCACAATAGCACAGTTAGCAGATACAGGAAGTTAAAGTAGCAGCTTATAACATGGATCTATTACTTTAAAGATGAAAATTGCTATGGGATATGCATTTATGATATAACACATTGTAAAATGAAAAGCAATGTAGTTAAATAATATATATATATATATATATATATATATATATATATATATTTTTTTTTTTAGAAAAAAAGGTGATTTAGAAGATGAATTATGGAATTGTCAATGATCAGTGAATCTTTATCAGTATAACAAATGCTAATACCCTTTCTGTAGTTAACAATGTTTTTTTGGCATGTTTCCACCAGTGTTATAAAAGTTCATCTTTAGTATTAAACAAACAACAGCAAAACAAACTAAGAATAGATGACCCCTTTGCCATTATCCTCTGTATTGGGTTCTACAAAAATAGCTTTATCCTTTATAATCAACCAAAACTTCTTGGTAAAAGCTTCTTTTTTCTTCAATCTGAAAGCGATTTTAATCCTTTTGGCCAAACTTTATTCATTCTGAATAGCGCAATATTGAGTTTTCTGGCTTATTTTACTAAGCCTATTTAGTATCTAATATCTGTTAATCTAATGTGTGTTCTTTGTGTATTTCCTGTGAGCCTTTGTCAGTTATTGGGGGGTTTTCTGACTACCGCTGTGGGAGTGTTCCTTCTCTGAAATGTCACATAAAGGTTATGGTTTGAATCTGAGGGAAATAAATGCACGATGTGTAAAAGAGTAATATTACAAATCACATGGGCTAGGTTGATAGCAACCTGACATTTTCCACAAAGGATTATTTTTATATTTAGATAGTATATGTGAAGTAACAACAAAGGGAAAAAAGGGGATTGGCATAAGATAGTCTAAGTATATGTTAAAAGATAAAACACACAGGAAACGGGGGATTTTAAAATACTTTGTTTAAAATAGGACATTACAATAGGATTACACTTTTTCTTTAACATGACCAATCTGACGTTTATTTTCCAAAAGAGTATCTTTGAAAATTAATCAAAATGCGAAGTTTAGGAAAATGGACAACAGCTTCATATCTTTCCATGTTTAAAGAGACAATACAAATTCTAAATCAATGACTACATTACAGACAATATAAATAAATCTTAATTTACAGTAGTTTTATTACATGCAAGTTTGTTATTTACAATTCATTGCTGAACAAGAGCATTTCAAAAACCACTGAAACATTCTCTCTGCAGGAAGCATTACAGAGATATACCGTTAACATGTTTAATATCTCTGCAGGAATGCACTGCAAAGACTGTATCGGATTTTCTCCGTTCAGTACTTTTTAATGAGCCTTCGTCTCTGCGACGTCTTCCTCAGCAGGTGCCTGAAATCATACGGATTATCTCCACTTCGGCTTTCTGTGGAGGACATTCTGAGCATGGAACGCCTGTAACACAACAGAGATGTGGTGCTATTAAACATATAGGGCAGTATAGATGGGAAAACAAAAAAACATGCAGAGGAGATGCTTGTGAAGATTTAAACATAAAAAACAAAAAGTAAATAAAAAAGAGGGATATCCAATGATTGATGTTAGGGATAGTGAGGTTTTCATATTGTTTTTCATCTTCTACCATTCATCATCTGATCTATCTGAGACAACACAAGATAGATGTTCTCTTTGTCCTTTTAGAAGCAACTCAGAGCATCTATAACCTTTTTCAAAATGTACATTTCTGAACAACTTGGTTATGTAAATAAAAAAAACAAACTACTGTACTATGGAATTTGTTAAAAAACGGATAAAAGATTGCTGCAAATCTGTCAACACCAACATGAGACATCGTTAGGCTATACTGATGTGTTAGAGGCCTTTAAGTTGAAACATAAATAGAATTACAGAATCTGCTATTTTTAGTTCTCCTAAAACAGACAAAATAAAATTCACACAAATATTAAGAATAATGTCCAGTTGAATGTCCAAATGAACACCTTTTTATTTGCACTAATAAGGCAGGAATAGGAGGAGTTTGCAACCTACACAGAATAAAATGTTTGTTTTTAGAATTTTCAGAAATAAAACTTCCATAAAATATTAATTAAAAATAAAGGTTTAAGTTTAAAGTCGCTTAGGAATCTATAAATCATCAGTAAAGCAGAGACTAGATCTAACCGTGATCTTAGTCCTTGCATGTCATTTTAACAGTAATGCTTTTTTCCTTTACTGACAGAAAATGCTGAGGCCAGAATGGTGATACCCTCCTGCCATCCAGCAGGGATGGTGGCAAGAGTTATACAGGAAGACTTTGCACTAAAACTAACTTAACTGACCTCAGTGCTGTTTCAGAATATCTCAGACCAGTGGCCCGAAAATGAGATCCGGGATAGATAAATGAAAAAGTGGGTGTGCAGACTGAGACTTCTTTGTCTATGTTCACACAACAGGAAAATATGACCAGGTTGGGATATTTTTGCACACATGCAACCCCACTCCCCACCCAACTCTTCCTGGTTCTAAAGACTTTTAAATCTAAATCATACAGGCAGTAGCCTCAGGGTTGTTTAATATATTAGTAGTAAGACCTTGGAGAAGAAAATGTATTTTAACAAAACATCATAAATGAGTATCAAGACATGCTGTAAGTCTAATTCCAAAAAAGTCCTATATTTTGCACATTTAAATATGGAGTTGGTTAGATGGCAAATAGTTCAGTAGGGGACTGAGCACTCATCCATGTGGAGCTCCAAGGTTAACTATAATGAAGGAGGAGAGGCTTGACAGTCTGTGGTTGGTGGAGAGGGTGACATGGATCAGCTTTTTAATGAGGATGTCTGACAGGATGCAGGGGCACCAGATGACTTCAGTTATACACTGCATGCTACATAGACCTGTTTTTCACATATGCATGTTGATGATCTTTGCACTAATGACTGGATTATTTGTTAATTTCTTCCACCTGCTTAACTCCGCCCAATTTTCATTTGCTGTCATCTGATCCACCTGTTCCAGCTTCTATTTAAGCTGCCTGTTTCCAGCCATTAGTGCCAGATTATTTGAGCCGAGTGTGAGAGTTCTCTAGCGTACCCAGTAGTGTTTAAATAACCTGATCCTGACCTATTTCTGTCTCTGGACTCCTGCGTTTCTGTTTGCCCCTGTTCCAGTCTGTTTCTGCCTGTTCTGTGTTCGGACTGCTGTTTGTATTCTGCCTGTTATGACCCTTGATCTGTCCCCTGACCCTGGCTTGGATTTTCCCTTCGGTACCTCTTCGTCTTTCTGATCTACTGGCCTGGACTTTTGCTTCTGGTTCGTCACCTGCTCTAGATTCTAACTCCAGAATATTCTGCTCTTCCTCTGCCTGCTGGCTTCCGCTCATCAGTCTGCACTTCCCCACACCTCGAACTCTCTGGGAAACTCCTGCTGCATGCTGTGGAGAAATCATCCGACTGGTTTCCACTCCTTCCTCTGGACACGGACAGAACTTAATAACAAGAGATTCCAGTAAGCTGTTCCCTGCTGATGAGCCGCAGTACTCTGAGCTTTCAACAAACCTTTTTACTTTTACACAAACCTGTCTGCCTGAATTCTGGGTCCTACTTTCTAACCCTTGACAATACATGGTGATGAGAATCAAGAGATGGTGTCAAATGAGCCCTAATATGAAGGAAGTCAAGCTTTTTCAAAAGAACTTCATAATGACTGAGATCAATGTGACCAGACCTGTAACTATTTAGGTCATTGATTACTTTTCTTTAGGAATGGGTAATATAATGGATTTAACTTAAAACTTACGTTGCTCCAGATGTTTCTGTGTTTTTCTCCAGATTTTTGTCATTGGTAATATTTACAACAGGTTGGCACAAAAGGTGTGTCCAGAAGACTGGTGAACGTGCAAGGGGTTCAAGGGAGGGTTGTGGTCACAGCTGAGATCAACAGCGGCGCAGTGATGCAAATTTACCGTGCAGAGCTATCCTGACCACAACAGTTTGATTTCTGTCAACCGTCTTCAGCAGAGAAACAAGCAATGGCTGGAAGGGAGGAAGGCTTTGTGTAGGAGTTCACAAAGCTCTGGTAAGTCTCTGAAACGTACTAGTTTCAGAGACTCTGAGTAATTTCTCTCCTCCGACACACTTGCATGAGGACCATCAGTAAATATCTTAACTACACGCTCTTGATAGAAATAAAAAACTAATAATGTTCATGCCTTGTGATCAACTGGGACAAAATTAATGTTGCAATATTATTTTAGACGAGACCAACTGCTTTTTGTCACATTTTGATGCATTTTCTTTTTTTAATAATTTTATCTCTTTATATTAATGTTTTTATTTTCAATAACATTTAGGTCATTTGACTAACTGCCAAGGAACTAATGCAAAATTGTTTAACTTATTGTTCATCCCTAAGGGAACCACCACTCCCAAGCGTAAAGCTGCTGATATCACTTTTTCTTAATTACATCACATCCCGCGGTAAACCAATAGCAAAAATCAGATGTAGTGACCCCAAATCAATAATCCAAAATGATGATTAATAAAATGATCAGCCTGTTTACCAGGAAGTGGTGCATCCCTTGCAGTAAATTAGGGAGTTTTATTATTGCTTCCTAGCAGAATATACCTGTTGTCTTGCTTTGTGAGTCTTGGAGGCTCGGGTTCACTGACAGCCCTCTCTCTCATCTGTCGAGTAGAACCTGAAGATCTTTGCTCTGTGGACGTCCGCCTGTCCCCATGATGACTCCTAAGGGTCGATCGTCTCCTGTCCATGGACTGTCTTCTCTCCATTGACTGTCTCCTCTCTACAGATTGTCTCCTCTCCGGTTTCCCCCTGACAGCTGTGCTCTCGGTGGCCATGCAGGGTTCGGACCTGCTGGTGGACAGGGTGTGGTAATATTGGTCATCCACATCAAGCAGCTTTCCAGGACTGGAGATCAAAGAGAGAAAAATTGTGAGATTAGTGGATTTTAAAACCTTACCAATTCACAACTAAACCCAGAATAAAATAAAATGTTCTTATTATTTTTTTAACACAATAGATCTCTGCTCTTGACTGAGACATATTGGGAAGAGATGTTAGGTTGAGCATCGTATTGGAAACTCTCCCTTGTATCCACTAATCTGCAGCTGTTTCAAAACTTTGCTGTACGTCTATAAATCAACGCTAAAAACCCATGTTTTTTTGAACGGCCTTTGACTGTTAGTTTAACTGTTACCTGTTATGTTTCACTAAGTTAAAGTTTGTGGTCCAACTCTTTTTATTTGCTTTACTACCTGCTTTTATCTTTACTTTACTTCTCTTTATTTTTTTCCGCTTTTGTTTTATTCTAATGTTTCATTCATGAAAAGTACTTTGAATTGTCTTTGTACTGAATTAGAATATTAGAATAATTAGAATTGCCTTACTGAAAGGTGTCATGATCTCGGCACTGATGGCTGGCCTAATTGCTCATTTCATCCACCTGCCAAACTGTGCCTGGTTTCCAATTACCACTCATCTTATTCACCTGCTGCTGCTTCTATTTATAGTCCAGTGACTCAGTCCCAGTCATCGTGGCCAGATTATTGCTGATGCTCTTGTTCATGTTCTCTGTCTCGGAGGCCAGTGAAGAGAGGGTTTTTTGCATTTCCTAGTATTTTGGATTTCCTGATCCAGTTCTGCCTCTCATTTGAGCTTGCCTGTTACCGTCTGAACATCCTACCTGAACTATCTCTAAACTCCTGGAACCCCCCAAACCAGGCTGTTCCTGTTCCCATTGGCATCCCTGACTGGGCTCCGGACTCCTGGACCTCTAAGCCTTCCTGTTCTGATTTGCTTCCCTGACCTGCCTCAGACTCCTGCTTGTTCTCCAGGGCTGCAGCTTCTGGGACACTCTGGGTGGTGCCTGCCGCATCTCCTTGGTAGCCCACCGGCTGGATTCTACCTCGTTCTGTCCTTTTTCATGACAAAAAGTGCTACAGTATAAATGGGTTCCATGACTTTTACAAAAAGCTGTCCTGACTTGTATAACCAAAACTCATTCTTTACTTGCAGAAATTATAGTAAGAATATATTACATTTCCAACTGGTTTCTGGGTGTAACACCAGTGTTATGGAATAACTGAAAGTTTCCAAGATGTTCCAGGAGGCTGCATCCCTCCCATCATGATGTATACTTCAGAGACAGACTGAAAAGCAGCTGTTGCAATAAATTGCAGATGCCTGCAGTAAAGCCTTCTTTCTTGCTTTTCCTTCTTTGAGACCTTCCCTGAAATTTACTATCATTTATGCACAGTACATTTCACTTCTTATCACCAGTGCTTTTCTATCGTCTATCCTCCTTTGCCGTCACCTCCATCCGGTGCTGCCGTCGTTTCTCCTGACCTTCTCATCCTTAATGATGCATGTAAACTGCTCCTGTCCATTCCTGGCTTTATTTATTTGCTAACAAATTATTCCCTTGATGTTTAGTGCATCGTTGCATCGTGTGGTTGGTATGTGTGTCTTCCTCAAGCTGTTGTGATAAAGCACCCTGGCCTCTTACTTGCTCAGCCATCCCTATCTGTCCATCTTCACCCCCTCGCTCTGGGTGGTAAACTCACCTTGCGGCTTGTGCAGAACATACATATGCATGAATAAACACATGGACACACACTTTCACAGAGGTTCATCAACTTACGTCTTAGAAAAAAGAACTATAACACCCATTTTGCAGGTCTGATAAATTATCTAGATAACTTGAGAGAGTCAGTTAAAGAGAGGATGAGTTTGTTGAGACCATAATTAAGTTTAAGTCTGGAAACATTCAACATATCAGGCATTTGGCCTTCCTTCAGGCCAAGGTATAAAAGTGATATAATATCTTAAAAAAAGTGAATTGAAACAAGAGTAATATGCTTACTCTTCTTTTCTTGGCTTGCGTTTATCATCCTGGACAGATCTCTGTATGGGAGAAGAGAGAAAATCAAGTTTTAAAATAAAAACTGAAATAATATTTAAAAATAATAAATGTACAATTACTATCAAATTAAATTAAAAGTAGAAAATTACAAACATTTACAACAGAAATACTTTAAACTTTGTCCAAAATGGTGCCAGAATATCTTCTTTGGCAAGCATTATACAGCATTACACAAACACAATCAAATGACCGTTTTTAATGCATGAAAATAAGCTTTTAAAATAGAAAGAGGCACATATTACAGTTGTTGGCTCATTTAGAAAGTTAAAACTATTAAAAAAGCTGTTCTTATTTTGGGAAGTTTAAAGAATAGTTCTTATTTACAGAAAATTAACATTACAAATAGAAAAAATTATTTCTTGTAGATGTTCTTTTAGGCCAGTGGAACATTTAATTTTATGTATTATGGGAGCAGATGGAATGAGAGATGAGATGGAAGAGTTTGTCATTTAAAGTTATTTTTCAACAGCTGGCTTGAAATCCGGGGAAAAAAATTGTGTTGTGTTTCATCAGCTTTAAATAGTTTCACCAACTACCAATAAATATTCAAAAGATTATCTCTTTGTTGTTTTCTAGTTTAATATAATTGACAATATGAAAAGATTTTCCTGGAAAGATTTTAAAAGAACTATATTTAGTTAGGATTGATTCTGTATAACTGGATACAAACTGGACTGTGTTTTGCAAAGTACCCTGAGCCTTTTTCAGTGTTTTATCTTGCAAATATAATTTTCTCTTGAGAAAAATACACTAAAACATCAAGGCTCCTCCTAATAATAGAACAATACTAAGAAATCCTCTGGAAATTGATAACTGGGCTTCTAAGTGACCAATGACTAGACCAAAGATTTTGCTACAGTACATACATGTAAATGTAATCGAAACATAAAATTAATGGTGTTATCATCCATAAAAGCACTTTTGCTTAATTCAATCAAGAAGTGAATATATGAATACCTTAATAGGATCTCCAGTTAACTTTAAAGTTTTACAAGCTAGTTTTATAGAAGACCTAACATCAAAAGTACAATGCAGATTTAGGAATTTTGTTTGTTTTGTTTTAAGGTTTAAGGTTACTTAATAATTTGTCATACCACAGATAATGAAACGATTACAATATGAAAATATAGGACAGCAAAAAACAAAATACTTTAATTTCTAGGATGAAAACCATGTCCCATGTATGAAAAACATTTTTTTTCAAACACTTCAGCAACATTAGCAGTTAAAGCCCCACCAGCACAATCAAAATACAAACCAATCAATGGTGCTCTGTTAAAGGCAACAACTGGGAAAGCAATTACCGCTTTGAAAAGTTTGTTGACAAAAGCATCCTGAATCAATCACCATCTTTTCTGCTACTCACATGAATGAGCGTGTAATAAGTGGAGTCCTCCGGTGTGTTCAGGGTCTTTGGTTGTTGCGTTCTGCGGGGGGTTCTTGAAAATCTCTTATCAGCTGAAAAAGTAACAAAGGCATTTAAAAACATCAGGTGGCAGTTCTGCAGTTTGGAGCTTTAGCTCGCTGAAATATATATATATAAAAAGAACAGAGGCAAACACATTTCTACATCCTCTGGTAAAGGAAAAAGGAGAGACCCTCTCTCTGTGTGTGAGGGGCAGTTCGTTTCTGTAAGCTTAGGCTAATCAAACTATTATTAATTATGATTCCAAAGTTTGCAACTCAATATTTAGCTTATTTTCATATAGATTAATGCAGCTGCTTTTTTTCCCCACAAAGACATTCAAAATAAATTAATTCTAGATATACATAAGAATTAAGAAACATTTGAAAATCCATTACCACAAAAACAATAATTCAGCGAGTAGATACCAAATATCCAAAGATATTCTTTTCTGTTAGAAAGCTGGTTTACATAAGACATACAGTTAAAGAAAATACAACCAGGGGAATCTCTTTAATAGACAATATCTTAAAGTCATTTTTTTTAGTAATTCAGTTCAAAAAGTGAATCTCTGGTATTATATCAACTCATTAGACACAGATAGAAAGGGTAAAAAGTGTACAATCATGCCAATTTTTATCATTATAGATTATTGCTAATAATTCTAAAAATCTAATTGAAACCAAGGTTGCTTTAATTGCAGGTTTTAGTTTGCCAACTTTGTTGGATCTGTCACCTCTCATACTTATCTTGACAATACCGAATAGATTCTCTTTACAGTTAGTCAGGCGGTTTTGTACCTTAATCAAAGACAGCGTCACCATGGTCATTGAACCAGAATTTGGTTTCTTTGGCAGTGTGAACCTGTACCAAGATCAGTTTGATGACATACTTTAAATTTCCCCAGCTGCTCGTATGACTTTACACTTGATAAAACACAGTCAACCAAAACCAGCAGAGGACATGGATCCCTGAATCATCATATGAAAATAAGAATAAAGAAGCAACTTAATCTTTAATGGCAAGTGTGTATATATTCTATATTTATAAATCTTTACATCTGTACAGTTTTGTCTAAAATACTGTTCAGAGAAGGTCATTATTTCAGCAGATGATATGTTTTATAGTCAGTGTTCCACTACTCTAGATAATGATTCAGTTACGAAATAAGTTGACGATTATTTAAATAATCATTTAATCATGAGTAATGAATGCAATGAATTATTTCAGCCCTCGATGAACCTTAATAAACTTTATATTGTGACTGTTTTCTCTCCCCATAGACTCTGGGCCCATGTTTTCCCAATGAAATGTAAAAAGGTAGATGCACCTGTCTGCTTCAGGTGAGGCTAGGTATAATACATTTTAGAGTAGCGAAATTCTGAAACAAATGTGGAGTGTGGTGGCCTAGTGGTTAGGGCATTGCACTTGGATCCCATAGGCCCTGAGCTCAAGCCCCACTCCTACGGACTGCTACTCTGGATCCCTGAGCAAGACCCTTAACTCCACACTGCTCCCAGGGAGCCTCAAAATGGCAGCCAACTGCTCCCCAAGGGGATGGGTTAAATGCAGAGGGTTTATTTCATTGCTTTGTACTTGTGACAGTGTAATGACAATAAAGTTGAATTCTATTCTTAACTGTAACCATCAAAACTGAGACAAACACATGCAACTGAAATATAGGATAGTGTGATAAATAAATCAAAAAATTTGATTTAGTCTTCAACTTATCTAAATAAATTACGTTTTAAATTATATTCTATCGTTTGTTGAACCTTTCTTTCTTTTTTAACATGTCAAGAAAAACAGCAAAATTACAGCATGAAATATTCTGATTACTATATGCAAAACATAAAAGTATTGGAGGACATGCCTTAAAGCTGCAGTCTGTAACATTGAGGAGAGAGCAGACTTCGACTGAAAATTTGAAGAAAAACAGGTTTCACGCCACTCCCCCACCCTCTCTGCTTCACTCATGCCCCACCTCCAAGCTCCACCCCTCTCACAGCATCTGCGCGGCTACCGCATGCGACCAGAATGGGGGGGCGGGGGGGGGGGGGGGGGGGGGGGGGGCGGGGGGGGATTCAGCGTGTGTGAGCTGTGATTGACACTCCATCAGACGCTCCTCTGGCTGTGATTGGTTGTTTTGACTCGTCCCGAATTATTCTTTCCAGATTGAAATACAGGCAGTAGGCGGTACCAATTGAAGCAGTTTTTTTCACAGGTTACATATCACATGTACTGCTGTCTGGGCATAGGGACAGTTTTAGCCAGTATGACAAAAAAGTGATTTTTAAAAACTTACAGACTTCAGCTTTAATGAAGATTTCTGCAATGTTTGAGACAATTACATCTTGAGAGTGATCTTAGAGACAATTGGATCTTTTTAACCAGGAAATGACATTTGAGATGTATTTTCCCCACATTCATGAAGTATTTTTTTTCTAGTGTTTTTTTTTTACATAATTATGTGTGAAACAGCTGTTTAAAAAAAGCTTCCCATAAATTCCTTATCATCCATGTTGTGCCTGTCAAGATGCACGCCTTCTACCTGAGCTTTAATTTGTCATAATTTCCCTCATCGCTCTCCTAGACAGTATCACTCATCTATGTTATTGCAATTATAAACATATTAGACTGACCTTTGCTTGCTGTTTATTATTAATGTGCAAACTGGCAGAGAAATAATCCATCATATGCAGAAGCACCCAGGTAAAGAAGATGAAAAGTGTCAAATGTTATTAAACAACTCCATCCTAAAGGTCATTCTCTTTCAAACAGTCGAGTAATGCTAAGTTTAAACATCGTCATATTAATTTCTGCCATAATTGTTGGCTCCAAAAACATGATTAATTTTGTTGACCTTTTCTATGAAGAATAGTGGGGCAGACATTCCTCTGCTTTCATTGCATGTGGCGCTAATGATTCTGGCTGAGCTTTTTGTGTCACCGCAATTCATGTGGACAGATTAGCTCTGTGTTTGGGAAAAATATTCTTAAAGATGGAGACATGTTTTATTTCCTATGCTGGCCCCTAGAAGTTACAGAGATAACTGATTGTGTTTAACATCAATCAATGTGCTGTGCTGGAGGAATGTCTGTAAAGGGCAAAAATCGTAAAAAAAAGTCTTTATACCATGTGGGCTGTGAAGCAAACATCTGAGCTTACCCTAGCACAAACAAAAACACCCCCAAAAGAATAATTTGATGTGATAGTAGAAAAGTATGAAAAAGTGTTATTTCAAAGTTAAGTTGTTTAATAAAGAAAACTGAATTTGAATTTTTTTTGTAATTTTTTGGAAATTGTCAGGACATCTTTTTTTTTGGCAGTGGGTAACAACAGAAGCTAGGTTAATAACGCCACTGTGAAGTTTAGAGAAATTTTCTTCTGCTTGTGACATTTCATGGGCATTGCGTTATGCATAAGTTAGGCTGCCATTAGACATAAATTCTGGACTTGTTATAAATACACTATGTATATGCTGAAAATTGAAAAAAAGTGCATAGAAAGTTCAGCGTATGCCAGCCTTTTAGAAGATTCTGGGACGTCGGCATAAGCTGGCTAAATTGTCATGGTATTACAGCGCCATAACACTGACTGCCTGTAGCTCAGAGAATAGACTTTAAAATCCTTCTGTTAGTCTATAAATCACTGAATGGATCATAACCTCAATACATAACAGATCTTTCGTCAGTGTATGAACCTCCCAGACCACTCAGGTGTTCTAGTTCAAGCCTACTCTGTCCACACAGAACTACTGTAGAACTGTGGCTCAGAGCTTCCAAAGGAATTAGTAACAGCTGAATAGCAAGTTACATTTGTAATACTTAATTCAAAGTAGTTGATAGATTGTAATATTTCTGAAGTGCAGAAACCTTGATAAGACATTGTGAACAAGATTTAAATCATACAAACATCAAACAAATTGATAAAGATAGCAATATTATTCCATTATCTCCATCAGACACCCAAACCTATTTAAAATATCTCATTTGTGGTGCCAGCTAAATTTTTTTTAACAACAAACGTACCATTTTCTGCTTCTCTCACTCACCACAGTGAAACCAATTACAGTTATCAGCTGTGCAAATCTAATTTCACTTCAGATGACTCATCCAGTAGCAAGGTGCTTCCTGTTTTGGCACTTGACTTTCTCGGCTTTCCTGATCTAATGAAGTTGCATGACGGTGGGAATGGAAAAGGAAGCAGGGCCTTCATAAAGTCATTATTGGATCGAGAAAGGTTGCAATTACATTTCTGAATAGCTCAAGAGAAGAGCAAATATAGCTGGAAAAAGATCCAAAGGCTGATTGGATGAGCGTCTCTTCCTGTCTCAGATTTTAGACCTTTACTGTTAGTGTCTTTTGGGGTTTCTTAGGGTTATTTGATCTAAAGTCGTTACCACCTTGAGTTATATCTATGTAGTGTTGGCTAAAAATGCGTGGAGTGTAAAAATCTAAATTATTTGCCTCTAAAGTGAAAATATTTATTATCAGAAATAATAAAACTTTTAACAACAAAGCCCAACCTTGACATTAACCTGGGTCATTGTCTGCTGGCAATATGAATGATGTTTATTACTCAACAATCTGTTTCTTTCTAAGCCAATCTCACTTATCTTACCTGACTGGATCTGCGGGGTGTAGCCATTGATTGCTTTTCCTCTAAGAAACAATACATTGTTTTCCGAATTTGATTGATGCACCTGGATGATCTCGCTCAGCTTTTGCTGCAGGGTTGAAAAGTCCTGGGAAGTCTTTTCAATCTGTTGAAGAGATTAGAAAAGACATGACTAGAATAGGAGCAAAGTTTCATCCTGTAAGCAAACTGAGCTGTTGAAAGAAAATATGTTATTAGTATTTTTGTAGTTGTGATGAGAATTTTAAATACACTTATCATTGACCTTAAGTTTCACATTCATTTAGGGACTAAAAAACCCCAAGCCTATAATTAACTGGAAAACTGGAAGAAAACCAGTGTCTCTAGTTCCATTTCAATTACAGATGTTTGGAAAACTATGTCGATATTCTTTCAATGCAGAATATTTCATCTTTACACAAGGCAGTAAGGTCCAGTTGCAGTGACGTGAAGAAATGGTTTCTGCTAAATATATTTTTGATGCGACTGAAAAGTCAGCTCATCAAAGCATATTAACTTTTCATTAAAAAAAACGTACGTTTTTTCAAAATTGCAGCGTTTACATTTAGCAAATTTATTTTAATTTGTTTAATTACAATTTGCACAGTTTGATGGTTAATGGAAACCCAGCTGCTGTCTACATTAAAGCCAGCTTTACGTCTCCATGGACTGAGAGGAGGCAGCCAAGAGACCAGTTTGTGGAACAAGGGCCAAACCATCACGCTGGAAGAAAATTGTGAAGGATGCTCAGTTCCTCGTGTACTGACAGGGATGCGACTAAGACTGAAATCTTTGGTCCAAACTGACCACCTGCACCTTGCCACATGGAAAACATTAATACTTTAAAGAAAACATATTATGATCTTCAGAAAAAACAACTGAGTTGTTGAGTAAGATTAAAAAGAAAATATTTAAACATTTTAAACTCTTGTATCTATCTATAGTCTTGTGTTCATTAATTTATGAGACTTTATGCAATAGCAAAACATTTAAATTCAGTGAAATAGCCTGCTTGCTGTTTGACTAAGCTTTGTCTTCACAATGACAATTTAGAGCAGCAGATAAAGACCAGATCAATCTTTCCTTCCTAAACTCTGACCTTCCATCACTTCAGAACATGGTCCCAAGATAAACAAGCTCTTTTGCTTAAAATAGAGATGTATTCCCCACTAGCATAGATCAATTTACCTCTATGCATTTAAGAGGTATAGCATTTTTTAGACCTGAGTCTGCAAAATGATCAAGGGGAAGTTAAAGGTGGCACAGAAATGCCAAAATAAACACATTATCAGCAAAAAAAGCAAGGCCATGAATTACCAAAGCCATACTCTACTCTGTCTATATCTACAGGTTAAGAACGTGTTCATGACTCCTACAAACTGGATCTGTGGAGGAAACCAGCCAACTACAACTAACTCTACGAGTTGTAAGCTATGGTGAAATATTCAAGCACAATTGTGCAAGCAATGTATTGACAGATACAAAAAGCGTTTGGTTAATAGGCATCTTGGTAAGAGATTTTCAATCCAATTTCATCATGTTCCTAACTGGCACTGTACCTCTTTGGAGAAGCTCTCTAGCTGCTCGGCTTCACTCCTGGCTGCCTCCTTGTTGGCCTTAAGGTTCTTCCTGTCCTTGTACCCTCTGAAGTTACTCTGGATCTTCACAGCAGCATGCTCTTCCTCCTGTCTTTCTTTTTCAAGGTCTCCCTCCTCTTTGCGTTCAATAACCACATCTGTAACATCCAGTGCCTCATCCCTTTCTTTGGCATCCTGCGCCGTATTGTCAGGACTGGCACTTCCTTCGCTGACTTTCTGCTGTGCTTCTTTTTCAGCTTTCAGCTTCTTACGGTCCCGATGACCTCTGAAATTACTCTGAAGGACAGTTGCTGCTTTTTCCTCATCTGGTCCCTCTGGACTTGCAGGTAAAATGCCCTCTTGGTTGTCAGGAAGGGATTCCTCTATCTTTGCACCATTCTCCTCCTTTTTTGATTCCTTCTTGTTTTTCTTGGGAATCTTTCCTTCCTCCTCGAGTCGTTTTCTCTCCTTATGACCACGGAAGTTACTTTGAATCACTACAGCTGCCTTAGTCTCCTCTGGGTCATCAAGCTTGGCATCAGTGGAAGAAACATCTGCTCCAGGTAGAGCCTCCGTTGGTTCTGCCTGCTCCTCTTTCTGGCTGCTTCCTATCTGTTTCTTAGCTGGGACCTTCCCTTCTTGCTGTAATCTCTTCCTCTCTTTATGGCCTCTAAAATTACTTTGGATAACAGTGGCTGCTTTGGTTTCCTCCTCTAGATTGACAGCTTCATCTCCTGGAGCCTTTTCCTGTCCATCTACATTTCCAATGTCTGCGTCCTGAATTACAGCTTCATCTATAACTTCTGTGTTCTCCTCATCTTCTGGTACCTGAGTGTTATCACTATCATCATTTTCCTCCGCCTCATAGGTGCTCTCATCCTCTTCTTCATTGCTCTCCCCCTGATTATTAGCTGTGTTCTCCTCTTTGCCTTTGGCAGTGGTTGCCTCAGGTTCCTGTTGCAGATCCACAGCCTCATTTGGTATCTCCAACTCGTTGCCAGCCAGTGTCTTTTTCCTCTCTTTGAACTTTTTTCTCTCTTTGTAGCCTCGGTAGTTACTCTGAAGAACCACTGCTGCTTTTGCTTCTTCCTCCTCATTGTTGTCCTTATTAGAGCCTGTTTCATCAGCACTGCCTTTTGTGAGATCTGGCACCTGTCCCTGCTCTTCTTTAAGAGCCTTCTCTGCTCGCTCCTTCTCTTTGGCTTCCCTGCAAACAAAATCATGTCTTTGTCAGAAAGCATGGACAAGATCTCATTTGTTTATGTTACAACAATTGAAAAGGCTTATTCAACAATTCAGTCTGTCCATTTTTTGGATTACAGACCAAAAACTGTGGTTATTTTGTCTCAGAAAACCCTTTTGACCTGTTATATACATATGAAGAGGAAGGAAAACCATGCCTGGTATTTAAAGTTTTCTTCACATCTAGAATATAGATACTGTGGTATAGATTTGTATTTTGCCTTCTCTGAGTTTGATCTTTGAGCAGCTTTTCTGTGCCACAACATAAAGCTGACTTCACCATTGCTAATGTGGGGATGTGTTTAGGGTGTTATCGATCACATGTTGAACTTGTCCCCAATGTGAATTGCGGCAGGTTGCATAGGTGACATTGTGTGTCTTTCTTCACCAATGTAACATTCTAGATTTATTTAGGAAAATTACAGATTCTTAGAGTGAGTGGTCGTCTAATGGCTGTGTGGTAAAAAAGGTTTTCCTGCCTCAGCTTTGGATCTTTGCTACTTCTCCAGATCTACCACTGACCTCTTGGCTTATACTCTCATCAATCCCATTATAAGGACCATGTAGGCACCATTTTCTTTCCATGTTTAGATAGTTGGTCAAACAGAGCTGTGTAAAATATCCAAATCTGGGGATATTTTTTAATAACCATGGTTTAAATTTCTCCATATCCTATAGTTTGCTCCGTTACTTGGTCTTCATGATGCCGTTTGTTCCCTAAGTTTGTTAATAAACATCTAAAATCTTTACAGGATGGCAACTGGATTTATACTATTAGATTCAACACTGATGGACTACTTACTTATATGTTAGCTTAAATGTTTATATTTGTATTTTTTTATTTAAGGTTTGTAGAGCAGACTAAGCTCAATAGCATGCCTCATTTGAGATATCTACTGATGTAAAAAATCTGCTTCACAAGATTTTCAGCAAATCTTTATGTTGATCCATCACATAATTCCCAAAAATGATAAGATTTTGGTTTTAATGAAATGAAACAAAAAGAAGATGAGCAGGTATGAATCTTTGCGAGGGAATAATGTAATTTAAATTTCTTCTTCTACCGTTTTCGTTGGAAGCTTTTCCGCTCCTTGTGCCCTCTGTAGCGAGCCTGGATCTTGGTTGCTGCCTTGTTCTTCTCATCTACCAACTCCTTGTATGACTTTCTTGCAAGAAATCCCTTGCAAACTGAAGCCAGCAATTGACTGGTTTAGAAAGATCAAATTTACATGAACAAAAACCATATTTTTTGCCTCCATGAGTTACTTACCAGCCTGAAATTGGATTATAAAGGCTTCAAACTTTGCTTTGCTTTTATCGTCCGCTACCTTCTTCCGGACTTTTTGACCTCTGTAAGCTGCAGACGAAAGCATGGATCAGTGTAAATTCTAACAGTTGACCATGTTTTGAGTACAGGACCTTAGTGAAGACTTAACGGACCTGACTGAAGCACTAGAGCACTATGTTCTCGCTCTTTGAGCAGCCTCTGGTAGCGTTTGGCTCCCAGCCAGCCTCGGACAGAAGCTTGAAGAAGGATGATCCTTTGTGTTGCCTGCTGCACCATCAGATTCAGATGTTCGACGTGGTAGTATTTCAAGAACACCTTTGAAGCCCAACATAAATTACTTAGACATGGTTCAACAGTTGGAGAAAAGAGGAACGGTTAAGCTTTATTATTATTAACATTTGAGCAGGGATTCTGCTTTGATTTTTAAGTTGGGATCATCCAGATTGCAGTTTTTTTCCACTGAAATTGTTGATAATAGCCCTATATTTTCAAAAAACGTCCATTTAATTAGTTCATTCTAGGGGTGGGTAGTAACTAGTAACATTAAATTTTACATTAACTAACATTATGAAAAAAAATAGGAATAGTGTTACTTCTTGTGAAGTATCACTACTCCAACTTTGAGTAATTTGTAGATCAGATTGTTATAAAATAAACAGCAATTTTTTATCCTGTCAATGTATATATACATTTCTTCCTGTACAGATTTATTGTTAGTTTGTGTTAGTTTTATATTGAAAATATATGGATTTAGAAAAGTGTTTCCTCTGCGTATTTTTTACTATTTTGTACCTTGCACATAAAATCTGTTGCTCTACATAATTCTAAACATTATGAGCCAATAATATGCTGCTATCACCCAATATTATTCAATAATTAAGTAGCCTTTTCAACAAATACTTTCTTTACTTTTACTTAAGTAATTCCTTGGATAAGGATACTTTTTACTTTTACTTGAGTAAAAAAAAAAAATTTGAAGTAGTGCTACTCTTACTTGCGTACAGTTTTTGGCTCCTCCAACCATCTGCATTAACTTTGCAAATTGCCAGTCAAATGCTAAATCAAGGTCTGTTCCACAAATTCACATTCTTTCTATTTCAAGAAAATCTAGTTGATACATTTAAATAAAATATGATTATAATATATTTAAGTTATATAAATCTAAAACATCAGTCAAAGAGAATCTATCCCAATCACTGATAATTAAAACTGATCAACAGTTTAGGTTTTAGATGTGATGCATGCTAGTTTAGCTCCTAAATATATGATCTGTTCAGAGATTATTTTTGTGCACCTTAGTTTTCCCCATTGCCCAATTCTCCAGTTTAGCCTTCTCCAGTATTGCAGCGCACGTCTCTGGAGTCGCAGCCGGCTCCTCGTGAGCATTAAAGGCCAAGATGTAGTACCTGCAGGATTCAATGCATTTGTTTATTTGTGAGTATAAAAAGTGTAAATATTCAGCTGAGCTTCCACGGTTCTTTAGTGGTAGTCTGACCTCTTAATGAAATTAGCAAACAAGATGCGGTGAGAGTAGCCCTGTCGTCTGATTTTGGCAGTTTCCAGGACGCCAGTGTATCGCAGCTGGACCAGAACCTTCTCGCGGTCGAACTTGTTTGCCTGGCGATCATTGTTGGGTTTGAGGCAGCGGACAAAGTGAGGCTGCCCCGCCACCATCTTGGATAGGAGGTCCATCAGAGAGTACTGTGACAACATGACAGAGTTTAATGAGAAAAATCAAGAAAGCGAAAGAATCTCAGAAAGAGTTAGGAACATGTCACTTTTATCTACATTAAGCAGGTTGGTTCAACTTAAAAGATAAAATACAAACTAAAAATGCCAAAGTTACCATATTTTAAAGAACTTATTCAGAGTTTTAATGTCACATCAGGGATCTTGCCAAAGAACAAAACTTTACAACCAAAAGTTAGAAATATAATAAGTGTGTCCATATATTTCTACCAGATGGTAGACTAAATATAACAGACACTATAGCTCTTAAGTCCATCTGGCTTATTTGGTTCTATATATAACTATTTAAGCTGAGCTTTTTTTTATTTTCACTTCTATTTTGCTTTATTTGGGGCTTTTTTAAGTGGTGGTATTTTTAAAAGGACGTTGAGTCAAACACAAACAAAGGGTTAATTTCAAACCACTATCATGCATTCATTTGCACGGCAAAATGGATACTGTAGCACAAATCATCTGAGGCTGCAATAAATTGATTTGTAAAATTAATTTGTTTTAACTTCATATAAACTACATCTATAGTTCTGATCTACATAAATAAAAAACTTTATGATTAAAGGTACACTGTAGATGGTTTGACTGCAGTGGAAAATATTGATGGCGAAATTTTTATTACTTCACTGAAAACAAACAACAGCTTAAAGCTGGGGTAATTTCTTACTCTGAAGTACGATGCCACAGTTTGTGTCTTCATGTTGGTTGTTTCTCTTGGGTGGTAGGTGGCATCAGAAGGCTCTGATTTCTGAAAAACAAATGCAGCGAAAAAATTAGCAAATTGTATGCTGTAGTATATTTCCTGCTGCGTTTTCCAGGAGAAAACATTTTGCACACTGAGCAAAAAAAGCTGCATAACCTCCCCTTTCATCAGGTTCCTCAGTTTGACACCTGTTCTTCCTTTGATTTGACTTGGCTCTGGATAGATGTCGGTAACAGTGTACCTTTTTCCCCATCCAAGACAATTTGCAAGTGGTAAAGATGCAGTCACAAAGCTTTTTCAATCTGTTGTTCTCCATATGGCATTTTACTGCTTCTGCACTCAGATTATTTGCAACCACTGTTCTCCACTTACATTGCTCCCACTGATGAGCGAAACAACTTAAAATGAATTAATTATAATCTCAAGTTTTCAAGTAGTTTAGATTATAATAATTTTAGAAATTATTATAATTATTATAAATCTCAAGCAGTTGTTTTTAGGAATGCGAAAAAAGAATACTTCTCTGTTCTTCCACCACACATGGAGACGTGGACTTTAACAGCAAACGGAATAAGCTACAGATGAGACAAAGACTAAGCAAGAAAGGAATATGAGGAAAAAATCATCCTGCTTATATATATAAGCCAGCATGAACTCTTCAACAATCTGCACTGCAAAAAATAGAAACCTCAATAAGTTATTTTTTCTTAAAATAAGTGAATTTTTCCTTGAATTGAGGACGTAAGTAAGACACTTTGCCAATGGAACAAGACAATTTCCTTTTAAAATAAGAAAAAACTATTTTATCGTCTTATTTCAAGTAAATATTATCTAACTATCTTATTTTAAGAGTAAAAACACTCATTCCATTGGCAGATCATCTTATTTACCTGCTCAAATTAAGGGTAAATATACTTAATTTAAGAATTTTTTTACTTATTTCTGGATTGTTTTTGCAGTGTGGGCTTTTTTTTTCCTCAAAGCCACTTCTGATCAAGTCTCATACAAAATTGACTTCAATTCCAAGTGCCATATTGGCAAACAGGACATGTTGAATATATGAATAAATAAAAAACATCTAACAAAAATGAATACAAAAAACAAAAAGTGTGACAGTTTTTATAAAAATCTAAAGGCCTCTCAAATGATCGAGTAGTCACTGGATTATTTGGTAGGATAAGGATCCCTGACATGTTGATGGCATCAACTGTATCTTTTGTCTCTTTGGAAAATCACCAATCACCTTTTGAACTTGCACTGTGTCTTGAAGAGGCACATCGAGCAAGCAATGTTTTTCTGGAGTGTGCTTTAATATCCAAGAAGGCTGCAAGAGATACAAATGGACAAGTGCTAAAATGAACAGCACCCACTAACTGAACACAACTGGTTTACATCTAATGCTAATAAAGTGAAGTGGATACCATTATACATGTATTCCAAACTCAAACAAAAAAAATCACAAAACTTTTACAATTAACAAAAGGACACAGTGAATAGCTAGAGATTTTTGACAACTAACGGGAAGGATGTGATAATAAATCTACATCTAGATGCTAGCAGAAATGGGTAATCATTACTGAGCAAACCATCAGCCTGATACAGTTTGTGCTTTTTAAACTGTTCATTGTTGCCTCTTAAGAGGCGAGCTTTTGATGAGCTTTTCAGGCTCTAAGATATGCAAATGAATGGAAATGAATTCAAGACCTCGTCAAACGCAGTGCATCTAGCTTCTGTCAATTGCTTTGAGGTTAGTAAATCGCCTTGAGGCTTACATTTAGCAGACAGTGCAGCCGTGTACGAATGCAATCTAAAGCAAATCACACAAGTAAATACCATAATTAAGTTGCCTGGAGGGGTTTTATTTGGAAGATGCTAAACAACAGAGATGGTTATTGAATGCTTAGACTGAAAAATTGACATTTTAAATATTGTAAAGTAGATTTTTAGAACTTTGAAGCTTGTTTACCAAAACTACAATGGATTGCAAATGTATTCGCACTACCTCAAATTTTCCAGATTTCAAGTTCAAGTACATAATTTCCCTATGCACTGATCCACTCACCAGTGCATAGGGAAATTATGTAACAAAAAATTGTGCAGGATGAAATACAGAGAATAAATAGGTCAGAATCATTAAAATAGCCCTTGTGCATTGCATGTGGTTTGCTCCAAAAAATCTGGGTATTGATTAGAGTGACTGTTGTGTTTTAAAACCTGTTACTGAGAGCAAGTTTGTGACCCCTGTGCACTAGTTCAAACACAAGGTTGTTCTGGGTGAGTTCAGCCCCCCATAATACTGAGTGCTCCCTTGAGACAGAATGTTCTATAGAGGTCCTTCAGGGAGGGAGGAGAAACTATGTTGTCTTTGTACAGATATGCTGTAAATCAGCAAACTTTAAATAGAGCAGCAGTAGAAGACGTTCAGCAGTAGGCTCGGTTGAGCCTTATGGAAACCATCAAAAGTGGAGATGATGTTGAGCCTGATGGATGAAAGAGCACCAATGGAGGTCTGAATCCATGTCCACAGGCGTCAAATACAGGCCTTATTCACACAAGGCAGAGTTTGGGTGTATCTCACAAAATTCTTTGTCAAATAGTGGATCCTGTCCAGAAGAAGTGGCGGCAAAGCATCATCATCAGCAAACTTGAGGATTGTGGTGTTACTTTGGCTACTGATATATTTATAGGCTCACACAGTTTACCGGGGGCCAAGTACACAATCCTGTGGTGTTATCATACTGCAACCAAAGATTTTTGAAATTAAATTTATACATTTTTTAAAGAGCAGCATAGAGTAGCTCAATTACGTGACATGGAAACAAATGATGCATTATTTTCAAATGCTTTTCATGAACAGACATCTGAAAATTGTGGAATGTAAATTACATTTAGTCTAACTCAACACCGTGTTCAACCAGTGTTCTGTTGCTTTGCACATCTAAATAAAAAGGTTCAACTATTTTGTTTTTGTAATGCAGCTAAAGCTGATGTAGAATACATGAACTGTGTCTGTGAACTTTGAATGTCAATTCCTGTCACAAATCCTTATTTAGATAATCAGTTCCCAAATGTTTCAGCCTGTGACCCCCCCAAAAAAGGCCAAAAAGAATCAAGAACCTGTACAGAGTGTACAAACTAAACAAAATTCTCCAAAAGTCATAACCGTGACATTGAATAATAAGATATAAAATGTTACATATCAGACCAAAAAAGCAGTAAAACATTTTTAAAAAATTAAACGGTAAATTGCATTTAATTCTGAGCATTAAATGCAATATGACACATTTTTTACCTCTGTATTACCATAAGAGTATCCTTTTATAAGGATATTCACGTCTAATTATTTTGCAACATATCTTCTGTCCCTTTTGTCTCTCCATACCATTAAGCGGTCAAATCATGATGAAAATAAGCTTATAGCTCCGTCTTTGGTGTTTTGTGAACCTCTTTTTTGCGAATTGATCTAAATACACATCTGGACGTTGACTGGACCCTCAATACCAGGGGTCTTCGACGCTTTCCAGGCCAAGGACCCCCAAACTGATGGCGAGATTGAGCAGGGACCCCCTAATTATATATATTGAATGAAATTGTGTTATATCAAACTGGTCCGATAGTCACTCAATTAGATGGAGTAATGTAATGAAAGTAATTTCTCCCTGAGATTATTAAAGTATTTCTGATTCTGATTCCTCATTGATGGGACAGGTGTTGAATGAAATGAATGAAACGGTGCCCAGCTTGAAAGAGCTCCTGCGTGTTCCTGAATGTGTGCATTGATGACTGAAAGACATCTTCTGCCTCCATTTATTTGTTTACTACAGTGTGTTGAATTCATGTTAATGTGGAGTTAAAGACATTTCAATTAGTGGAAAAAATTGGAGGGGGGAATATATATATATATATAAAAAAGCCTAATAAACCAAAACTTTCGCAACCCTCATGCAGTACCTCCATGGACCCCCTAAGGGTCGCGAACCCCCTGTTGAAGACCTCCGCTCTTTACTATTCCTTTATACTAACTCTGTCTGTGTCTTTAGGGGGATTTCCTGCCGAAAGGTAAACCTCCACTCTAGTCCCAGTTTTTTTGCAGCCCCTAAAAGGTTTTCTTCCTGAAATATCTTGTATCTGACTCCATCCATCTGCCTAAAAGCTATCAGCCTCCTACTGTTTCAAAATTAGGCTTTTATGATTGTGGTTTTAAAGTTTTAGTTCTTCTAAACATTGTCCAAAATATCCTGTTATTGGAACACCCTCTTTCCCATCACATGTTCGCTGTGACCCTAGATGCCTTCTGATACACTGTAGTGTCCACTCTTCTGATAGGGCGATAACAATATCAATATGCTGGCTTCTCGGCTCAATGGCCAGGACATGGAAAGTTGTCACACACTCTTTCCATTATCCAGTTATGACTCTTAAAAATTGGGATATTCTTTTATAATTTAACAAGGCTTTAAATTCTTTCACTGCTTTCTTCTCAACCTTGTTTTCTATGTTGCTTGGTCTTCACAAAGGCACTGAATTTATTCTCAGATAAAAAGATGCAAAAATGAATTGCATTTACTAATAAGGGGAGTTCATGCCAGACTTTTGAAAATTGAGGAAAGAAACATTTTCTGTTCTTCCCCCTCAGAATCAGGCATGACATTGTGTTTCTACATCAACTGAAATCCAATTACTTTGATTTAAATTGGTGGCTGTAGAGGGTATGAATACTTAATCTTAATGCAGTGTAGTTGTTAGCCTGAGGCAGGGTGCTTTTAATGCAAATCTATCTCAAAGAGAGATCCAGACACCAGATAGTAGCTAAAAACAAATGTCATATCAGGAAGAAGGAAATGACGCTTCAAAGCAACAATTACAGGAGCAGCAGGTATGACTATGCTCAAGTGTATCGGTTCTAAGGAAGCGCTAATAGACCTAAAAGGGAAATCTGGATGTGTTTTGGAGATCTCTAAAAGGAGGAAAGATTCCTGCAAAGAAGGATATCCATAAAAAGTTATGTTGATTACCTCACTAATAGAAAAAGAGCTGTATAATGTAAGCATCCCCATCTTGAATGAAGGAAGAGCAAAGACAGAGAAAAAGATGGAAGAAAAAGGAGAAGGAAATTAATAAACCAAGCATGAAGCGACAGGAGAAGAAACAGATACTTCTGGACAAACCCATCAGTATCAACCATTAGTTTAGATCATTTATTGATTGTCATAGAGGAATAAAAATAAAATAAACCTAAAATGTATGCTTTAGTAAAAAGTTAAAAGAGATGATGCAGCAATAACATTTCAGATAATGTTGTACCTTGGCCAAGGTGATGGTCCGTGTAGGTGTCCGCGGGCCTTGCATTGTGTTTGTGCCTTTACCCTTAGTGTGGGCAAGGTTACCTGCAAAATAAACAGTGGATAAAGGAGGAGTGCATTAAATTACAGTTTCCCTAGAGAAATTACCCTCAATACCGTCCTCAGAGAGGGTTTAGTTTAAATGCACATATTTACTTTTTACAGCACCTATTCACTGAAAGTAAACTTTTATAAGACATTTTAGAAAATTTTTAATTAGGATAATCAGAAATTTGTTGTGTTTTTGTTTTTTTCAGCCACACCAAAAGCAACCCATGCTGCCAAGCTTAGGAGAACCAGTTTGAAATTATAACAACCTATTTTTATGTGTAAACATTTGACTCAAGCCACTTAATAAATCAATAGTTGGCCTAACACCTGTGAGTTTGTCTTAATGATTAAAGTGGGTTTCATCATCTAGTTTGATATTCTACAGTAGTAGAAGAGCGACTATTTTTGCTGCTCCCCTCCTGTCCATGTCCTATGTCTCAGATAAGGTCTCAAAAACAGCTGCAGAAAAATTAAGTATAGTCCTGTCTTTAAGTTTTATCATTCTGAATGCAAAATAAAAACATTTTGGAGGAATTTCAATCTTTACACTCTTACTTGTGACTGCAAAGAGATATGTCATGAAAGAGATAATCAAGTCTTATGCCATGACCTGTCAATTCTTGATTTTCATTTACTACAGGATGTACGTTTAGTGGCTTTATAGGCCACAATTAAAGAAAAAAAATGTTTCAAAAAGCCTAAATGTTCTAACTCATTATACTTGCTTCCTATAAAAAGATACTGCAGGCGACCAAGCTGCAGGATTGGAGGCCAGAGCCATTTGCCTTCACATTGCATTACAGATGGTAAACAGTCCACTGAGCTGCTTCTTAAAAAAAAATAACATACTGGTTATATATTTCTTTACTTCGTAAGTGATTGTTTTATAAAGAGAACTATGGGTAATATCCCTGCCATGTAAAAACAGAGACGACTCATTCTCATTTCTGCCTTGCTTTAAAGCACAGTGCCAAGCTTTGACATTTTGTCAGCTGAAGAAAGACGGAGCAAATAAATAGATAGATGGATTTTCTTTTACCATACTTATCAGAAATAAAGAAAAACAATCATAAACCAGTGGGAATTATTGTAGTAAAGCATGAACAATAAGCAGGGTGGTCTATGAGTCAGCACTCATTCTTAAAGACAAACAGCAACCCTCAAATAAATGTAAATGATTGTGTAATTTTCAATATCTCTGACTTCATTACTGCTACTGAGCTACAATTTAAACAGACTTTTTACCATTTTGGAAAACAAATTGTATTATATAGTATTAAAAAAGTTTGATTTATGTTATATCCCTAAAGAACAATTGTTGCGATGCATCTTTCAGTCTCATGAAATGTTTCTTCGTGTTAGAGAAGCTCCAAGGCTGTTATTATGACGACAAAGAAACTATTGCTGGATTCTTAAACTTCCTACAGAGTTCCCAGATAAATCTTTTATCTCACAACCAATAGTTGTCAGGTAGTTTTATTTAGTTTCCATAATGCTGCTATTAGTTTTACCCGTTATGGTGAGAGGATGAGTGACCAGTTTACGGATCAACTCGTTTTCTGATGACCTCAGGAGAAGGATGATATCAGCTGGGAGCGTCTCTCTGTTCTTGGCCAAGAAGCCAGATGCGTTGTAAATGACCTTAAAGTTCACAAGGTAGAAAAAAAATATTTTTTAAGACAGGAAGGTATCAACTACAAAAAAACAAAACTTTACAAAAGGCATTTTTAAGGTAACAAAGGAAGACTTACCTTCCCCGCATAGTGATGAATACCAAAGCCAAGATCAACCCTTTTAGGTCTCCAGAAGCTTTTTGTTTTCAGATTATCTTCAAATTTCTCTAAAATACAAAAAAGTAAAACATTCAACCAATTACATAACTATACCATGTACTACAATTTTTGCTCTTTATTTGGGTGTAACTTACAAAAAAGTTTTTTTTTTTTTTTTCAGAATATGAATTATTTTGTTTATAGAACCTCCATAAATGTAACACTTTAATAAGTTAATACTGTAAATAAATAAATTTTTTTAAACAAATAAAAAATAATTGCATGTAAAGTATTTGAATCTACACTAGACAGGAGCAAGGCCACACTCCTCCTGATGGACTCACCTACGAGTGTTTGGTCGGTGGCCTGTGGGAAGCGGCTCTCCTCATCCAGCAGGGACAGCAGCCCCATCGGCTTCTGCAGGAACAGGTCCAGGAGAGGCCGGTTGTCTTCATACTCAATCATCCGAGCATCAACCTCTTCATTCAGGTACTCATCCTGATCAGGAGGGAAAATCATTTAATTTAGGACTTCTTCTTTTTTAACTTTTTTTTTTTTTTTACTGTGTAAACTTAAATCACCTCACTATTTCAGTTTTTTTGGTTTTAGTTTATCTCTCTTTTTTTAATTTAAGCTCATTTCACGTATGTCAAGTATAGCCTAATAACCTGTAATTACCCTGTAAGGAAGTGCTGTAGACCTCATAAATATCCTGCCCCAGTTGCTATTGGAAAAAGTATATTTTTCCCAGTCTGAACATATAGATGTAAAGTAATGTGTCGGTGCTTTAAAAAGTAACAGAAAAATGCCCAGGACTGATCGAAATGGTAAGACTGTGGAAAGTTCCTCATTGGTTTGGAGTTAGTACCCTTTAAAAAGCATGATAAATACATGCATGAAATTACCCTGTAAATATGAATGTAGTTGTAGTAGAGGTAATCATAAGAAATTGTAAGTAATAAAAAAAATACCCTGTAAGCAAACTTTGGATAGCAAACAAGCCTCAGAAAAGTAACCTAAAAGCAACTTTAGCATCAGTTAGTACCTTCCAGGACTCTACAGGGAGCAGTTACTTGTAAGGACCTTATACGTTTAAGTAAAGTATCCCTTAAGACTAGGTGGTGAGAAAATATCTTTATAGTAACTCATAAGGAGCTTGTGAGCTACAGTACAATCTCATTAGGAAACTGTAAGCTGCAGTTAAGTACTCATTTAATCCCCTTTAAGAGACCTGTGGGTGCTTCATTGTGCTAGACTGAGCAGGAATGACTCAAACGACAACTCACAGTTTCCAAAAAAAAAAAAGCTGTTTAATGACAGTCGTAAGGTCGGAACACGGAGAATCAATCAAGAGGGCAGAGGTAACCAAAAGCACCGGGCTGAGGCAAAGTCGAAGCACAAAAGGTTCAAAGATCACTACAGGCTAGAAAGGTGGAAAAAGGGTTGGAAGACCTGCTGGAAGAAACAAAGATGAACTGGCATGGAGAGAGGGGATCAAACTGCCTAAATACACAGGAGGAGATGATTGAGGGCAGGTGTGTGCAATCAGGCTGGCTGGAGAAGTGCAGGCAGCAGAGCTGTGGCAAAACAAAGCTGCCACAGCACATTAAGAGACGCAATACCTGCTCTAGTCAAAAAAACATGCACTTATGTTAAGAAAAATGTACTTAGATTTCATTTGCTTGCAGTGTAAGTAGCAATAGGATCCTATAAGTAACCAGCTAACACCAAAAAATAACCCCAAAGAATTGTATAATGCTTAAGGTGAGTAAATTGACCTATAAATGCACTGTGAGTAGCCATGAAATCACATCAGTAACCTCTAAAAATCAGCACTTCAAAAATAGCAACAGATTTTCATATAGATCCTGTCAATATAAAAAAGTGGCTCATAAGTAGCATCTAAGCATATCTGGAATACCCTGAAAAAGACAAGGAACTCCATAAATATGCAGTATGCATCAGTAAAGTGCAATGCAATTGTATAATTAACCTGCAGGAAGCAGTACAGTAACCCCTGAGCACATTTATCTATAGCAACCCCTGGATTTCCTTGAAGGACACAACAATGTTGTTTGAGGGCCGAAAACAGCAAGAATGTATTTTGTAAAAACCTGTATGTAGCATGTTTGTAACTACAAGCTCTGTTAGTAAAAATCCTTATTCCATAATTAGGGTGAAACATTGCACGATTGCATCTGGCTTTAATTATGTTAAACTATTCAAAGATTTCATTTCAAAGGAGATCGCTTCAACTTAACTCCTCCATGCCAGTGATCGGTTGCCAGGGCCAGTAATCCTAAACCTTTCTTTAGGATTAGCAAACATTAACCCGCCAATAAGGAAAGTGGCAACTTCAACCCGTAGCTTTAGTTTCCCTTTACTTCCTTAAGTCAGAAGCAACGCTCTAAGGTTGGTTCATGTTCATCCTTCTATTGTTTACTTTTTGTTTTTTTGGCTAAATCTACCAGTAAGAAACCATTTCTCAGCTCTATTATGTGATTTTCGCTACTATTCCTATTTTTGTGGACTCCTTTTATGTCAACATGAAAGGCATCATAACCAGAAATAGATATTTTAATATTTTGGATCCGTCAAAATCTACAAAACTGTTATTCATATTTATATGATATATCTTTTCATTTTTCAATAAAATCAATAATGTTATTAAGCGCCACGCTAGATGTTCTGCTAATGTATTATTTTGAAAAATTAGGCGTTTTAATTGAAAAGTTGTAGCTACGACCTAACTAAATAAAACTTGATTCTGTATTATTTTCCTATATTTTAATCAAGTAAAGCACTTTGCATTGTCTTTGTACTGAATTGTGCTATACAAAAAAAATTTGCCTTGCCTCGCCTAACATTCCAGAATTATGAATCTGGTGTTTTATCCACACTTTTCAGCAAAATTTGATTGGGGCAAAGTGGCCTAAATCTCAGCTACACTCATGATAAAATACAGTAGCATTACTTTGGACACCTAGGAAATGCTTATTAATCTCAGTACTGAACATTTCACATATGCTCTCAGTGTACATTCAGTCGGCAGAGGACAATGTATTTCTGGGCCTGGTTCCAACAATCCCCAAGAGTGAATTTAAGTCCAACATTAAGTGTCTCCAGCTCCTAATAGACCCTCATTTGGGATGATTTACTGCCCCGCTCTGCGGGTAGGTCCAAATCGTTTAACATTAGCAAACCATTCTGTGACCCCCCTCAAGGCAAACACTCCCATGAGACATCACAAAGGGAGAATTGTGAAGCTCAATCTGCCATAAAGATAGAGAGCAGCAGATTTTAGTGAAAGCTCTTAAAGCTCAGACAGACAAAAGACGTGTTAGTGAGGTTTAGATGGAAATGACTGTGAAAACTGCAGACAGAGTGCTTTTAGTTGGAAGGATCCTCAGCTGTAGTATTTGATCTAACTGATGGGGTGTGTTGTTTAGATGTGACTCTACCTGCTCCCAAGCAAAGATGTGCTGGTTGAAGTAAAACTGGATCTGCTCATTGGCGAGGTTGATGCAGAGCTGCTCAAATGAGTTCTTCTTGAAGTTTTCAAAGCCGAAGATATCCAGAATGCCAATGTTCAGGCCCTTATCATCCTCCCTAGAGTTGAGAAGAACAACAAAGAAGCCGATTCAGCCCAGTTAGAACCATGCCTCCTTGTAAAGCAAACGCTGATCAATTCCGTTCTTCTGAATTTAACAAGGAACAAATATATTACGTTTTTTAAACTATTTACAATCGAAAACTTGTCTGAAAAATTCTTCTCACACTTTCTCTTTAAAACGTAAATTAAACTGATTCAACTAAAAAGAATACAGATTTTCTTACAGCTGCTATGATTCTGATTTAACTGTACAAGTTTAAAGTAATCAGAGTAATTAAAATATTCATTTTGGGGTTTTAACAATTTATTCTAACTGGTAACTAGTTGTTGTTTTTTTGTAAGGCACACATAAACTACTTTATATCTGCCCACAGAAACTGGTTAGTAAGCTTTATTGAAAAATAACCCATACAAACCTCATTTGTAGCAAAACATAATCCCCCAAAAAGTTATAAGTATTAGTAAAGTACTCAAATAGACTGCAGTAATGCATCCCATAAATACCAGTTATGAACTTTGTTTTTCTTTTAAGGAAGCAGCTATGTACCCATTGTGACCCTGACAGCAAGAAGAAATTATCATTGTAGTATCCTGTAGTGTTTCTGGGTTTTGAATGTATTTTTGTTAACAGTTAGGCAGATTGCTTCAAAAAATATTTTGTAATATATTAAAATCAAAATGATAAAACTAAGATTTCTATCAATCTCAATACTTTAATGGTTTGTAATACATTTATATAAATCTTAAAGTTTGGGTGAACTATACCTTTGAGTGCATTTTTTTAACATCTATTATTAAACTGCACAAGAAACACATATACTTTTCATTGGCACATAAAAACTTTTGGCACAATACTGGCTGAACATTTGAGCACTCTTATTGGTGGATTTGGCAGAGCTAATCTAAATTGTTTTTTTTTTACAGGTCTTTAAGCATGGTCCATTACTTTTGATAGGTCTGAGGTTTGTGCTTTTTGAAGTTCATTCAATAGCATTTTGAAGCTTCCCAAAACTAGTTCAGACCATTACTTGGAGTCATTTTCCTGTTGCAATGCTCAGCTGTATCCAAGTTCCACTCTACTTACTGTCAGTATTAGCATTTGGGATGTCTGTAAGCAGTCCTGGAACCACCAAGTCAACTATATGCATATATGATGAAATATTTACTTCAACACTATTAATTTGGAGTAGTCATTTATCATAAAATATTAGATTTTTCTTTCACCTCAGAAGAAAGATATTTGTATGTAGTATTTGGATGCTGTATCACACCATTTCTGCACATTAGGAACACTGAACATAGTCTGAGGCAACTGCAGCTGGATAATGCATTTTACCAACATACATTAGCTAAAATAATAGACAGTGGATACCACGCTGCAGGCTACATCTTCTCAACTTTGAGCATAAATGATCCCGGTCTGCCTCACATCACCAATTGCTGATCCAGGAAAGTGGGCATTTGTTTACCAGGAGTGGTACAGTAGGTACTTCCAGGATGGTACAAGTAATCCCTTTCCTACAAAAAACTGTGATGGTCTCTTTTTTCCAAAATTGGGAGGGGCTGTTGCTCAGAAAGCAGAACTCATGAGGATAACTCAGAAATGCATGAATTAAATCAAATACCACTTTGGGCATGATTGTGATAAAGGAATACCAAATTATGTTATTTACAAATAAAAAAAAGTTTGTTTTGCATGATGCAGCCCTTGTGTTTTTTTTTAACTGGTAATTAATGGAACACTTCATAACATGACTGAGGGGAACTAGAAAACTAACGGTTTCATAGTCAGATGGGACGGACAGCAAGCTGTCTGGTCACAGTAAGAAGAAGACAACTTGTCAGAGTCAATGAGAGGTTTTCTAAACAAAGTGTGCAAACAGTGTGCAAGCTGTCAATAGCGCCAGTGTCAGCTTAACACTGAGGAACTTTATTTTTTGCCACTGGAACTACTGGAATAGATAATAAAGAAGGACAATCACTATTTTTCTAAACTTCACCTTAAAATACAGAATTGGGTGAACAAAAAAAATGTTACAGACTGGTGTGATATTACACAAATGTAATCGTATTAATGTGTGTCTGTTCAGACAACAGGGTTCAACCATTTTTTTGGTAAGTGTGGGAGTTAAATAAAGCTTCCTGGTTCCAAAGCTAATTTGCTGTTGTTTGAAATAAAGTACCTGACTATTTTAGCAATGACTTTGATTCATAATTTTGTTTATGAGCCATGGACTATTTCCTGAAATTCACCAATCAATGTAAGCTTTACCAATTCTGGCGACAAGCGCTGTCATCTATCTCACCAGGACTACTATTGAGGCTTTTAATGGAAATCAGGGAGCTCTTCTGCAGCATAGTGAGGGACACTGATCTAAATGTTATTAGGGCTGTTTGTTTTTTGTTTGTTTTTAATAACTGAGCTATATGTTCAGGGTAATTAGAAGAACAGTTGCATTTTAATCAAACTTTTGCAGTGTTATTTTTGATAAATAATGAAATTTAACAGAACTAAAAGTTCAAAATAATATATTCATCCATATTACAACAAATGTATATGCTTATACTTAACCTAATAATTCTAAGGCATATCCAAGGCCCTTATATAAGTAAAATATTCATTAAATCATTCACGTCAACTAACAACAAGGTGTCCCTTTATAACGACTGCTTCAATGGGCTTCCGGGTTACATATCTACATATCTTTTCTTTGCATAACTTAATATATCAATTAAATAAAAAAACGCACAAAAAAAAAAAAAGGTATCCCTTTTTCTGCTGCTGGTCTCACCCTGGTTGACTGTCAGGCCGCAACAGTGTGTTGATCCGGTTCACGATCCAGCTGAAGAGCCTGGCGTATAGAGCCTTCCCCATAGCGTCCCTCACCTCCATGGCTTTCTCCACCGTGTTGGGCCTGACGATGGTCTCGCCCCGGGCCACAACACAGTGGGATGTCAGGGCTTCCTGGAGCTCGTCTGATCGGATACGTAGTAGGGATGCCACTGGCAGGAAACACAAGATAGGGGATGTTTAAATGTTTTCAGTTCAAAACTGGGTGAAGCAATGTGCAAATGAGCAGGAAAACATTGCTATTTAAAAAATGGATTAAAACATTTTGATATAACCAGCCTAGAACATGTGCTTCTATTTAGAAAAGATTATCTAAACCACGCAGTGCAAATCTAATTATTATAAAATGTGTTTGCAAATAATTTTCAGTAAATTACATGTCTCTGCTGATGTATAATTTATTCCTCAATAATAGTGTGCTATATTTATCCTAACTCCAAATGGAGCTCTGTGCAGAGTTAATGTAGGAAGGCGAAAGAGGGAGAGGGGCAGAGAGCAGAACAAATTTACAATCTCCTCATACATTTAGTGTTCGACTGTATTCTCACCGTTCTCTAGGACAGAAATGTTGGTGATGTTGCTCTTGTCAGTTTGGTGTTCTGAGGCGACAGCAGAAAACTCAATGTCTCCTGAGTTAAGGATGGCAGCCAGAATGCTGTAAACGCTGCCCAGCTCCTGTAAAAATGAAATATAAATAGCTGCTAAAAATTTAACTCTAGGTTTTTTTTTTTTATATACTACGTTCAAGAAGCCAACCCTTCTGGGGATCCTTTTATTTTAATTGGTTCCTTATAGATATACAGGTTTTCTGTAGTCCTTCAAAGCTTTCTTTGGAAGCTTTGTATTTTTTTTTTCTTTTTAGCTTTTTGATTTTTATTTATTTTTTGTTCCTCATTCAGCATATTTATATGCACACAAATCAGGATATTTCCCTGAGAAGTAAGACAAATTTATTGTAAAAACCAAAAACCTCTCTTTCCAAATGGGTACATTTTCAAACAAATGAAAATGGCAAAAATTGGATTATCATACAAAACCCACACACAATTTCACAAACTATAGGCCTTTTTCTCTTGTTCCATAGCTATCCAGAACTTTTGGAAAACGCTGACAGAAGAACTTAGCTGATAAACGAAAACTAGATTCTGAAAGTCTTTATGGATTTAGATCGCAGAGATTCACTTCTTAATTACTCCTGTAATTAATAGAGGAAGTCAGTAGCTACACAGATAAAAAGAAGTATGCAGTTGGTCTGTTTGTTGATCTAAATAAACATTTTACATATTTTATGACAATATCTCAATAAGGAAACTACAGCAATGTAATGTAGAGATGCTTGTTCTGGAGTGGATGAAGAGCTAATTAAGTAGCAGATAACAGTTTGTGAAAATTAGGTGATTAACAGTCATCATGCTTAGACTTGTGGTATCCCCCAGGGGTTAGTGTTAGGATGAATATTATTTATTTTTTCCATAACACACATATTAAAGTTTGCTTATAACACATATATTTTGGTTACAGGTGAGCGCTTACAGCAGCCTTTGGAGGATATCACACCAGAGTAGTATAGGCTAAAAAATCTGGTTTGAAAAAATAAACTCTCCTTGAACCTGGAAATGTTCCTGTTATTAGGAAATCATAAAGGAAATTAAGATGTGAAAGTCAAAATAAATGGGCTAGAGTTGAAAAAAGGAAATGAAATAAAATTCTCAAGCCTGAATATTGAATATTTTAAGATTGAATAGAAGCCTCATATTAAAGCTAATGATCTAAAAGCATTCCAAACACATCCTTTAATGTTAACAGATTTTAACACACCTGTGCAACACCTACCATATATTAATCAAACAGCTGTGCATGCTGCATAAAAGAGCCATCAGAATAAATCATAGGGCTGTGCTATCATGACCACACTAATCCATTATTCATCAATCCCTGCTTACTTAAATTCTCTAATCTCACAACTAATGTGTAAAGCCAGAAACAGCAACTGGACAGCATTAGAAACTTTTTGAGACAGAGTGAGGGTAAAATTATAGGGATAATCTACATTTCAAAATCTTAAATCCTCAACCAAACATGAAAAGAATTTACATTCCAATAAAGTATGGAACAAGCACAGTGTTGAATTAAAGCATTTCCAATACAAGACTGTTTAGTAACAGGCTCCAAATGATTTTCTTAAAAAGATATGCGATGGGCAAAGGGTGGTGAACATCAATGGGTACCCTTAGATGGGTTTATAATTTTTGTGCTATGATTGTGGTTGGTGAGCTAACAACTGTCAGAATGAGGCATGATGTGTGTAGGCATATGTGAATGCCTATATGTTTATATGTACACAACCTTATTTATTTGCTCAAAAAATTTACTTTTGGAGCAGCATGGATTAACAAGTTGTATAGGAATGAGGATTTTTTTTTTACTGGTTTGTCTGATATAGAATGATTCTCTCATTAAAGTACTGCATGCATTTGTGTTTAGCCAACCTAATTAGATGCTACTGGTTTTCCTAATGATTGTTCTGGATTTAGTTCCATTCTTTTCATCAGTTCTGACAAAAAAAACACATCTCGGCATTATGAGGCTCTCACTTCCATGTTTCACTAATGTTATGCTAGAAATGAGATGTGCTTAATATATTACTTACTTAAGGGTATCACATATATAAAAAAAAAGGCAAATGCATATACCCAAATTAGAGTGACTTAGGGACTAAGCGCTGCTTTATATAAATTAATACTCCTGGAAATAAGATTTATTTTTAGAAATAACCTTAAATAGTCTCAACCTTAAATTGTGTTTTCTGTCCAAATGCGTTATCTTTAGCATATTAAATAAATACATGAATAATGTTTTGTCATTATAGAAATGTACGGTGAGTTTATAGTTAGAAGGTGCCAGCTCCAGAGACAGTGCAGACAGTCTATGATATACAATATAGAAATACATATTGGGTTATTTACAACATATACAATACAAACAAACATAACCACCATAAAAACAGTGCATAGTAGAGTTCAGCGTGATTATTGCTTTCACCAAGAAGCTGTTTTCCATTTGACTAAACAATAAATTATAGCTTCAACTTCATGAAGTGGATCAACTTTTTTAAATGTAGGCTGTTGTAATTATTCCAAAAACTCTTTTACAGAATCCAAGGAATAGCTGCAAGTTTTCAAGGTATTTGCTGCACTCCACACAGTTGAGTCACTTTCTCCTTCTTTCCTTCTCTAAGTGAAATGGATAACTGCAGCAGTGCACACGCGTTTTTATGACGTAATAATTATAAAATATTGTAGATAATATCTTTGCCTTCCACAATGCCATCATATAAGCACCTTCTGCATGTAGTCTGGCAATCTGCAGTAGATAGGGGGTTATGCTATTTAGTCTTAAAAATACTAAATGATCGGTTTTGACCAAAAAAACATTACCAGCATCTGCAAGAACCATTTCATTTTTCAAAAACAGCAAAGCTTAGTGTTAGAGAAATATCTTGTTCAGATCACTAAAGTGGTTCAAGTGTATATTGAGTATGTTTCTGTGATTTAAAAATTGAATGCTTCTTATCCTGATCTTTATCTACCCTGAAGTCCAAGCAAGTGATAATTTTATAAATACGGATACCTTAAATAAATAAGGATTGCTTCTTAACAACAAATATATGAAAAAAAGGTGGCTTTATATATTACGGAACTTGAGACCTGTAGTGTCCTTCAGAAGTTTTTTCATGGTGGTTTTCTTGAGAAAAAAAGTTAATTTTCTATTTATTTAAAGATAACAAAAGCTGTTTTCTAGTAGTCATAACGAGATGATTGGTGTGTGTTAAAACTGATTACTTCCTTCAATACCACAACAGCAGTAGATAATTTTTAAGTCATGGCAGCCCATGTGTAATTCTGTTAATAATCCTGTGTTTAACTTTAAGGTAATGAGACAACGTTGTTAGTTTGATGATTTGCTTCCATTTCTGATTCATAATCAATTAGACCTTTGTCTATGGCGCTTTAACGCCAGTGTTTTCTGAACAGCCAAAGTGTCACACCTGTAACAGGTATAAGACGCATTGACCCCCACAATGAGTCCAGATTCAAGATTTTTATTAAAAAACTAGTCAGTTTTGTTTCTACTGTATTCCACGCAATCCAATCATCCACCATGACCGGACAATGAGTTAAAAGAAAAAGGAAACTAAAAAACTGATTATTTGCGCACATGCGGTAACGTGACTGCACAACTACAGGCACCGCAGGCATGGATGGACTGGAAATCCAGGGCTGTTGGCCAGCCTCATTCATTACTCATACAGGTTAATCATCTCATTATCTCAAGAAGGCAAAGGAAAAAAAAAAGTTGTGTATGACCACTCTCGGCTTCCGTAGTATATGGCTCTTCAAGCGATTTTTGTATAAAAACATTTATGAATTAACAAACTAACTAAAATATTCCCCCCAAAAAATTGAAAGCAGGCAAATAAAACAGTCAAAATGAAAATAACGACCTTGAAATAAACCTTTCAGTAGATATGTAGTTAAATATGTAGTTAAATCCCTGTAGAAGCAAATCACACTGACAGAAGTGATGCACCACTCTGCAGCTCCAGCTCCACAGAGTGCTTATAGGATAAGTGATATTGACGTACAGATCCCAGGAGAGGTCTGGTCTTTGAGGCTCATTAGCCCTCTCAATGACGACACCTTGCTGCCAACATGTGTTTGCTGCTTTATGCTACATAGCAGATGAAAAAGGGAAAACATATTTTTACCTAATTTATCAACCACATTCTACTTTGCAGAGAAATCCCCTCTAATCGAGATTATTTTCATTTTGTTTGATGATCTGTAATACAACAATTGAGTTTGGGGTCTGGGCCATGAGAGCCTGAGATCTATATGTGAGGGGTGCAGGCTTGAGGTGGGGCTTCTCACAGCTCTGTACCCAATATTCACTGCAGCAAATCATACCTCCAGGGTGAATCCTATGACTTTGAAACACTGCTCCACTGCATCAAACTGCTCCTTGTAGAAGGCATTGCTCACAATGTCAGGGCCTAACTTCATGTGTTCAGTATAAAGATACCTGCAGAACAAGGAAAAAACACAAAAGTGAGGGCTGGGCTCTTAAAGAGGGCAAAGTAAACAGTTTTTGGAGTAAAGGAGACATCTTACAAAAATTAAAACCTACTTAGGAGTCTTGCTGTCAGACAGTTTATAGTGGGCAAGCTTCTTCCTGTCAGCCAGACCAGCATAAATATAGTAGAAAATATGGAAGTTCTTCTCACCCCTGTGAAAAACAGAAAATCATGTAAGAACACTGAATTTGATGTGATTGTTTGGTTTGGTAAGGCACTGATGGGTTTAAGGCGAAGTAGTGAATTACAGTGTGAGGACAGGGCTTAACCACCAAATTATAACTGGGATTCACACTAATAATGTGTTGTTATAATGCAATGGGGAAATTATTGCCTGGTCATTATTCAAAATGGTTTATTCAAGTGAAGGAAAAATGAAAGAAAAATTGTGTTAAAGGGAAAAAAATGGAAAACACCTGCAGACCTGGTCAAAAATGTCAGCACACCCTTTATGCAATAATGTTGTTGTTGAAGCATCTTTTGATTCAGTCTTATTATTCATTATTCTAACAAGATCCCACATATTAATAGGAAAAAAATTATCTTCTCTTGTCCAAAGCCCTCTTCCCCCACATCTCTCTTTTGTGACATTCATTTTTAGACTTTTGATTATTCCTAAACTTTTCCTTCCTTGGCATAATTTGTTTTAAGGCTAGGCTTGAAACTATCCTTTTTGATAAAGCCTATAGTTAGAGAAGCACAGCTTGTACTCAGCTAGCTCTATAGTTATGCTGCTATTGGCTTAGCCTGCCGGAGGACACAGGGAACACTTTTCACTATATTGCTTCATTCTATCTCTATTCTCCCATTCTGCAAGTCAGTTCTATAATCATAGTAGCTTTATCTGGATTGGCCCTGTTTGGCTATGAGCCCATTCTGTGTCAATGACACAATAGAAGCATATGTCATCGACATAAGCTCATCTTGGAGCAAATCCTGCAGAGTCAAAAGCTTGATGCATTCAGCCAGTTTCCTTAGACAGAAAATCTATAACCAACCTGACTGTTTGATCTGGTTGAATTATATCTGTAAAGCTCCTTGAGATGGCAGGTTTTGTGCATTGATGCTATATAAATAAAATGTAATTAACTGTAGTAAATCATTTATTTGCTGATTTGGACTTATGCCTGGACTTTGAGTGATGCTAATAAATAAATTTAAGTTTAAAGCCAATGGCTCTATGTTACCCACACTGACATAGAGCCATTCTGGGTATTTTACTGAATATTCTATCTATTCTTTTCAATTCCATTCTATTTTATTCTATTCTCTTCTATTCTATTCTATATTAAGTGATAGGGGTTTCTTATGCAGTGAAAAATAACTAAGTCTGGGTTTGGACTTTTTTTTCACTAATCTTAATGAAATGTGTCTACTACACACAAAAAGCATCATATTCTCCTGTTTTGATCTTTTTTGCAACACACACTATGTTTTAAAGAATCTGCAGCTTAATGTGGAGCTTCTGCTTTCCTAATAAGCTTCAGAAAATCTAGCTGTGCACAGGGCCTCCTGCCAAATCAGCCCACTCTGACCCTTGTGTCCGTCTATTAATGAAATACTTCAGTGTGTCTTTGAAGTTCTGCTCGCTAGAAAACAATCTTTGATCAAACAAGAAATGGGCCTCCCTCTGCACTTGACCCGGTCTGATCCCCAGACACCTGATAAGAGGAAAAGACGCAGTGACCGAAGTACAGGCCAAAGGAAAATGTCACCTGTTTCAAATGGGTAAGTAAAGGTGAAAGGAAGGAAAGAGACAGTCCATTACACACTGATCACAGCCAGCGAGTCGAAACATAACCTTTGTGGTGCTGTTTTCTCATTGGGTGATTTGAATTTCTATGAATGTCAGTGCAGATGAATTTCACAAGGGTACAAAGACAAGTCAAGAACAGGAAGAATGAGGTGTTTACATTGCTTGGTGGATGACTCTGGATTTCTCCAGCAGGTACTCTGAGATCTGCGCGCCGACCACTGTTCCACCATTGGTAAACTTCATCTCCAAGTACTTCCCAAAGCGGCTGGAGTTGTCGTTAATAACGGTGCAAGCGTTTCCGAAAGCCTCCACCAGACTGTTGACCAGCAGGATTTTCTCTTGGAGCGTTCGATTGTTGGCCTAAATTAAAACATTATTCCAGTACAGAATGGAGGAAATGAATCCTCTTAGCACAATAGTACAGACTGATAGAAAGGAAACTGTTTAAGTCATGACCGGCACCAAACAAATTCATCATAATAAACTTTCCTTTTTGAACTGATCATTTTTGAAGTGAAAGTTAGTGAATATCTGCAGTCTCCTGCACAGTTAATTTTTTTTGTAGGTTTGAATTTGTTTCTAAATTAATGCAAATGTAAAAACAACACTGATGATGATTAAATTATTCTGTCAAAGTGATAATATTTCAATAATTTCTTGAAATCAACTCAAAGAAAGAAACTATTCCATTAAAAAAGGAATGAAGGAAATTAAAAAACAATCAAATTAGTTGAAACTGAAAATATTTTTTAGGGTCACATAAAAAAAATTAAATTTACTTAGATTGTGGTTTAAACATTGCATGCACTATTCTAAACTGTTAGTTTCAAGAAAAGCAGAATATAGAGAATAAAAAAGATGATCTAATAAAGATGATAGTTAATTTAAGCACCTTTCCGAGGACTGTAAGCTGCTGCACCAGCAGATGAGCGCTCTCCGTCTTTCCTGCTCCACTTTCCCCACTGATCACAATACACTGAAAATCACAAAAACCAAGTTTAAAAGACCTACATTAAGACTGTAAAATGCATCTGCTTAAACTTTTTTTGTCACACCGTTTTAGATAAAAATAATATAATATCGTAATAATAGCATATAAATTTGATATCAAAGATAATAAACGTAATACAGAATTTTCAATTAGTTTATATTTTTAAGAGTAAAGAGCCTGTTTATACAGTACATAAATGACTAATAACCTCATAAGCCTGGTTGTCTCATTCTCTGCGATAACAGCTACCATCGAACATTCGTGAAAACCGGCAAAGTGTTTTCTATCTAGCGTTAGATAGAGGTGTTTACCCTGCTCTTCAGCTGTTTCAGTTTAATCACACTAAAAGGTTTTTGAACATAAGCTGCCTGTTTGAGGTCACTCCTAAATTTCTAAAATGGGTTTAATTTAAAACCGTAATTAGGCTTGTAAAAAATGTTTTATTTATTCAGTTTATTTCATCTGCACAAAACCTTCAGACTAAACTGAATCAGGTTGCACTATATTCTCCTTTTTGAATTGAGTCCATCACTTTGGATAGTTAATCCTGGTGATTAAGAAACAAAGCGGCCCTGGACCATCACACTACCACTGCCATACCTAAATGTAGCTTTGAGATCCTGTTTTGGATAAGTGTTACTACAGTGTACAGTAGTAAGAGATTTAACTTGTCAGTCAACAGAATATTCCCACAAAAGTCTTGAGGATCAACAAGATGCTTTCTGGCAAATGTTTGGATGGATCTTTATGTTCTCTGTTTGGTCAATAGGATTTCTTGTTGGGGTAGTGGGTGGGGAAGGTTCTAAGTTCAATTCTCTTCCTGGCTTTTTCTGCATGGAGTTTGCATGTTCTCCCTAAACATGCGTGGGTTCTCTCCGGGTACTCCCGCTTCCTCTCACAGTCCAAAAAATGACTGTTAGGTTAATTGGCTTCACTAAATTCTCCTTCGGTGTGTGTGTGTGTGCATGGTTGTGTGTCCTGTGTGTCTCTGTGTTGCCCTGCAATAGACTGGTGAACTGTCCAGGGTGTAGACAGGCTGGAGATAGGCACCGGCCCCACCGCAACCCTGACTCAGCAGGAGAAAATGGATGGTCTTTATTGTTGTGGATTCATTAACACTGATCATGACTAAACCAAGTGAGGTCCTCAACAAATAAGCTGTTACCGTATTTTCACGACCATAAGGCGCACCGTACTAAAAGGCGCAGTCTCAGTTATGTGTCCCATTTCTGTATTTAACACACACATAAGGCGCACCGGACTATAGGGCGTGTTTTTTATATACAGGTACATGTCCTCTACTACCTTTAAATACCTCTACTGCGTATTTAAAAATACAGCGGGGGCAAAACTGAGTATGACTGTGATTTATTCATGTATTTATTACAAAGTATTAATCAAACCTGGCAGCTGGCCATGAGACAGACACATCGCAGATGACACAGCGCTGTGATCACTCCTAAATTAACTTAAAATCCTGAAACCTGCCGACAGAATATGTTCGCTTTTATTACCGGCATCCTGGTGCCTGCAGTTTAAATTATTTAGATGAAAAACACCTGCCAGCAGCCGCGGTGAACGAAAGGATTTCTACTGTCGGCGCACCGCTGGTATGTGGGGGTCTGAGCGCCTCCGACAGAAATAGATAATCTGAATGAACTGACTGCAATTATGAAGTTTTCAGGTGGACTTTCTCACTTAAAAACATATTAAAACTACTTTATTCCCACTGATCACAGCAAATATAGCTGCAAGATTTAGATTATTTAGATGAAAAAACACCTGCCAGCCGCCGCGGTGAAGAGGAGGAGACGCGCAAAGAGGCTGCTGTTGAATTAAGTTTTCAGGTAGAAAAATAGAGCGGGAGCAAAACTGAGTATGATTGTGCTTTATTCATGTATTTATTACAAAGTATTAATCAAACCCATCAAAGTCATCATCCTCTGTTTCTGAATTAAACAGCTGCGCTAAATCAATTCAATTCAATTCAATTCAGTTTATTTATATAGCGCCAAATTCACAACACATGTCATCTCAAGGCACTTTACAGTTCAACCAGATCAAATTGATACAAAGTTTTCTATCTAAGGAAAACCAGTTGATTGCATTGACTCATTGACTCAAATACAATCCCCCACACTAAGCATGCTTGTAGCGACAGTGGAGAGGAAAAACTCCCTTTTAACAGGAAGAAACCTCCAGCAGAACCAGGCTCAGTGTGAGCGGCCATCTGCCGAGGCCGACTGGGGTTCAAGGAGACAGAAGCAGAGATACAAAAAGCAGCTGTAAAAGGCGGCCCCGTCCAGGAAACATACAGCCAGGCAGACGAGCTCCAAGGCAGCTCCCATGCCAGAGGACGAAGAAAGCACATCCACTCAGTCACGGTCAGAGAAACAGGACCACACTGGAAAACAGGCCGATCTCCAACATCTATAAACAAGGGTGTTGATAGAAGCAGCACAGCTGATGTTTCTTTCCAGGATGACGTCACAGCCAAACAGGAACAGACGAGGCAAAGCTACTCTGAGGAAAAGCAGAGAGAGCAGAAGGTTAGAGATTGAACTAACAGATTCTGCAGAATAGGAGAACAGAGAGAGAATGAAGCAGAATGATGAAATGGGGGTCCCTATGTCCTCCAAAAGTCTAAGCCTATAGCAGCATAACTATAGAGATAGCTCAGGATAACCTGAGCCACTCTAACTATAAGCTTTATCAAAAAGGAAAGTTTTAAGCCTAGCCTTAAAAGTAGACAGGGTTTCTGCCTCACGGACTAAAACTGGTAGTTGGTTCCACAGGAGAGGAGCCTGATGACTAAAAGATCTGCCTCCCATTCTACTTTTAGAAATTCTAGGAACCACTAGTAAACCTGCAGATTGAGAGCGAAGTGCTCTGTTAGGAACATAAGGAACAATCAGATCTCTGATATAAGATGGAGCTTGGCCATTTAAGGCTTTATATGTGAGAAGGAGGATTTTAAATTCTATTCTTGATTTAACAGGAAGCCAATGAAGAGAAGCCAGGATAGGCGAGATATGATCTCTCTTTTTAATTTTCATTAGAACTCTGGCTGCAGCATTTTGGATCAGCTGAAGGCTTTTAACTACAGTTTGTGGACTTCCTGATAGTAAAGAATTACAATAGTCCAGCCTTGAAGTAACAAATGCATGGACTAGTTTCTCAGCATCACCCCTGGACAGGATATTTCTAATTTTTGCAATGTTCCTCAGATGAAAGAAGGAAATTCTAGAAACCTCCTTGATATGGGACCTAAATGACAGGTCCTGATCAAAAACAACACCAAGATTTTTTACTTTATTATCTGAAATCAGTTTAATCCCATCCAAATGAAGTGACTGGCTAATCAGTTTCTTTTTCAGAGACTCTGGTCCAAAGACTATAACTTCTGTTTTGTCTGCATTCAGAAGCAGAAAGTTAAGAGTCATCCAGGTTTTTATGTCTTCAAGACATGCCTGTAATCTATGTAATGGGTTAGCTTCATCTGGATTTATAGACAGATATAGCTGGGTATCATCAGCATAACAGTGGAAATTAATCCCATGCTGTCTAATAATTCTACCAATTGGGAGCATGTATAAAGTAAAGAGAATTGGTCCTAGCACTGATCCCTGTGGTACTCCACAGGTAACCTTTGAGCGTGTTGAAGATCTATCATTAACATGAACAAACTGAATTCGATCAGATAGATAAGATTTAAACCAGTCTAGTGCTGTTCCTTTAATTCCAACAAAATATTCAAGTCTTTCTAAAAGAATATTATGGTCAACTGTATCAAATGCAGCACTAAGATCCAACAGGACGAGCACAGATACAAGTCCATTATCTGAGGCCATGAGAATATCATTAGTGACTTTCACCAGAGCTGTTTCAGTGCTATGATGAGCTCTAAAGCCAGACTGAAACTCTTCAAAAAGTTCATTATGGTGGAAGTGATCGCAAACTTGTTTGGCAACTACTTTCTCAAGAATTTTGGATAAGAAAGGAAGATTGGATATAGGTCTATAATTGACCAAGTCATCTGGGTCAAGAGACGGTTTCTTAAGCAGAGGTTTAATTACAGCAACCTTAAAAGCTTTAGGTACATATCCCTGTAACAGAGATAGATTAATCACATCTAAAATGGAGGAGGAGATCAAAGGGAATACCTCCTTAAATAACCTGGTTGGAACTGGATCTAACATACAAGTTGAAGGCTTAGATGAAGACAATAATTTTGCTAATTCAGAGAGTTCAACTGGATCAAAGCAGTCTAAACCCAGTTCAGATTCCATGACTACCTCAGGTACAATCGCGGATAGAGGAGTGCTTATGATCTTATTTTTAATAAGATCAATCTTATTTATAAAGAATCCCATAAAGTCATTGCTGCTAAGAGCAGGTGGAATGGACGGTTCAACAGAGCTATGGCTCTGGGTGAGTTTGGCAACTGTATTAAAAAGAAATCTAGGATTATTCTTATTCTCCTCTATTAATGAGGAGAAGTATGCTGCTCTTGCTTTACAAAGGGTCCTCTTATACAGCAGTAAACCCTTTTTCCAGACTAGGAAGGACTCTCGCAGGCCTGTGGAGCGATATTTTCTCTCCAGTTTCCTAGCATTTTGCTTCAAAGTACGCAGCTCTGCATTAAACCAAGGAGCAAGCTTTCTATTTTTAACGGTTTTCATTTTCAAAGGAGCTGCGTTGTCTAAGGCAATACGCAGAGAACTAGCAACCCCATCAACAAAATCATCAACCTGTGAAGGGGAATAAGCTAAACTTTTGCACTCTGCAGCACTGCTCAGTGACACAGAGGAGAGAGAAAGTGAAGCAGATTCTTTGAAATTTATAACTGCACTATCTGATAAAGATCTACTAAAATTGAACCTTCTTTTGGGGGAGGAGAACTCTGTTAAAGTAATCCTGAAGGTTATTAGAAAGTGGTCAGAGAGGACAGGGTTGTGAGGAAATACTGTTATTTCTTCACATTCTATGCCGTATGTCAGCACAAGATCCAAAGTATGAAGATGAGAATGCGTGGGACTATTCACATTTTGAACAAAGCCAATAGTGTCTAAGATAGCATTAAAGGCTGCTCTTAAGCTATCGCCTTCAATGTCAGCATGGATGTTAAAATCTCCCACTATGATGACCCTGTCAGTATTTAATACCAAATCAGAAAGGAACTCTGAAAACTCATCTAAAAATTCAGAGTAAGGACCTGGTGGACGATACAAAGTTACAAAAAGAAGAGGTTTTCTTGCCTTGAAATTTGGATCAGGGAAATTAAGGGTTAAATGTTCAAAAGAGTTGTAGGTATTAACTGTTTTGGGAGTAATCAGTAAGTCAGACTGGAAGATTGTTGCTACTCCTCCTCCTCGCCCAGAACTTCTGGGGATGTGAAAATTTAAATAGCTTGAAGGAGTTGCCTCATTTATGCTCACATAATCCTCTTGCTGCAGCCAGGTTTCTGTAAGGCAAAACAAGTCAATGTGATTATCACAAATCAAGTCATTAACTAGTAGACTTTTAGAGGAAAGCGATCTTATGTTAAACAGACCGCATTTAATTGTTTTAACTTTTTCCCCAATTTGAGTTATTTTGATTTTAATTAGATTATCATGATTTACTCCTTTGGGAATCTTTGCTAATTTATTAGATTTTGGTCGTGGGCAAGACACTGTCTGGATGGAGTAAAGAGTGGGTAACAGTAGAGAAGCTGCAGAGATGTGTGTTAAACTACAACTCTGCTTCCTGGTCTGCACCCTGGGTGGTCAGGGTTTTGGAGGACTAATAAATGTGGCCAGATTCCTAGAAAGAAGAGCTGCACCATCCAAAGTGGGATGGATGCCGTCTCTCCGAATCAGACCAGGCTTTCCCCAAAAGGATTGCCAATTATTAATGTAGCCCACGTTGTTTTCAGACATGCCAATTTCCCCTTCTTCGCTGTCACTTTCCGTGCAACGCAGCTCCTCAGAAATAATGCCGGCTTTTGCGAAAGCTTGAAGAACAGAGCCAGCAGACACTTTAGTCCAAGCATCTACAATCCATCCGCAAACTGTGGCGTAACTTGCCCGGCGCTGCCTTCCACTTATCCTGAAACTGTGGTCTCTGTCGGCCATCCATCGCTCCCAGCAGCCTTACTTTGAACGGCCGCTTCACACCGATGTCGAGCGGTTGAAGTTCCTTTGTCAGACCCCCCGGGATAACGGCGAGCACAGCGTTCATTGATTCACCTTTTTTTTCACATCGGCTGTGAGATGGGCACGCAGCGATGGTGATGCGTGGAAAAAAACACCTGGTCTCCTCACATAGGCTACACCTCCCTCAGCTACGCTTTCATCATCTCCTCATCCATCCAGCCTTTTCCATTTGCGTTATTATCATTTGTCATCAGAGCGCTGTGTCTGTCTCGCTGTCAGCTCCCAGATCAGCTTCTCTGATTGGTTGATGCGGCGCGTCCAGCAGCAAAACTTAAATTTTTCCATCTCGAGCAGCAGCAGCGCGTTGGCGGTGCGTCAGATGCTTAAACGATCCCGACGTGCTGCACCTGCGGCTCAAAACGCGCTGCAGGACCTTTTGCTGCACCTATACGCGCGTCAACCATTGACTTTGCATGTAAACTCGCTGCTTCTGCTGCACCTGCTGGGTCCGGTTCACACCGATGTCGAGCGGTTGAACAGCAAGCACAGGGTTAATTTGTTTCCCCATGTTTTTCACATCAGCTGTGAGATGGGCACGCATGGAGTTACAGATTAATGGTAATGAGTGGAAAAAAAACACCTGGTCTCCTTACATTCAGCCACTCTTTCATCATCTCCTCAATGAGGTGGTCTCAAAAGTCGCAGTTACAACACACATAGGGCGCACCGCACCATAGGGCGCACCGCACATTTTGAGGGAAAAAAAAGACGTTTAAGTGTGCCTTATAGTCGTGAAAATACGGTACTTTGTTTTTTCCCCCTCCTGGATCAGTCTTGGGTGTGCATTTGGAGTAAATTAAACAGGTTAAGCAATCCTGGGGATATTGACTAACGTTCCATTTTCTCCTTGTAGTTTAATGGTACCCCAAAGCATTATGGGAAAGCATGATGTTACTTCTTATAATCTTGCAGTCAACTATCTTGTAGATATTTAATTATTTCCTTTCATTTCTTAATTTTGGATCTTTTTTCCCCCTTTAAAAGCATATTTGAAAGTCTGTAGAAAAGAAGATAAGCACCAGCTCCTTCACGACCCTGATCACAAAGGTACAGAAAATAGATGGATGTTTGCTGATAATGCATGATTATGTGTAATCTTTAAGTGATATAAAACATGAACAAACGAAATCTGCATGAACACATAAATTGTTCTGTTTTTTCTCAGCAGTGTATGTTCTAACAAGTAAGTTACCTGATCGGTGTTGTATGACACCATTGACTGGTAGGCAACGTCGGCCACTGCAAAGATGTGTGGAGCGTTGGCCGTGCGCTTAGCCCCAATGTACATCTTAGTGTACTGTGAGAAACAGAGTCAAGAAAACATTGAATACTGAAATAACTTATCTTAATCAGTACATGTAGACGAAAGGCAAAGGCAACATACTGTATGTGCTCAGAATTGGGAAGGTAAACATTAGACATGATGAATAAACTGTCAATTATGGTAAAGAAGAGGGAAAATGTAAATAGCAAATAAAAAGTGGAGATTTTTGAGTTTTTGAAAAGCAGCAGTGAATACATTTCGAAGCACATTTGCTGTGGAAGAATAAACAGGAAAAAAGTGGCTATATTTTCTTTTTACTGACCTGAGGAGAATAAATTTCCATTTTATGGAAGGGGTTGACTGCAATCAGTATGTCTCCAACATAGGTGTAAATCTGATCTCTGGCATAGCGACTCTGGAGCTGCTCAGTGACTGTGTTCTGACCAAAAAAAAAACAACATTTCCACCTGAATTATCATCAAGGTGATAACATAATCATAAAATGAATGAATAGTTTACATCCCCCCACCACCTGTTTAATCCGTGCATTCTGTTTGAAATCAAAGCCATGGGACTACTGCTGTGTCAGGATATTGTTTTCATAAAAGTGGTGATCAATACTGATGTCTAAACACCTCCAGGTTAATCAACAACAGCTGAGCTCCTGAGTTTGATGGATGGAGAAAAATATCCGCTGGCAACAGAGCCTGATTGCATCATTTGATACTTTAAACCAGGAACCAGAGTTGATAAATTGCTCAGTGAAAAAACAAATAAAAAAATTCAATAATATTGGCATAACTACAAATAGTTTGCCAGTACTTTCAGAGCAACCTTACAGGTCTGAGTAGAGCTCATTTATTCAGAGCAGGTACAGAAGCCTCACTAGAGAAGAGACAAACTGCATAACAGACGTAAATTACTATTTCAACTGGGAACAGTTTTAAATTGTCATGGTGTTAAAATCTGCTGCGTTCAACTCTTTTATCCCCTGCAATATTCAGCTTTCTGTTGCTATTTATTTTTTTACCTCATCTAGGACTTCAAGGGTGGCGAGGTCGTCCACCTCGTCTGTGTCAGCTTGCGTCTTCATATGGCTTCCTTTTTTTGTGTGGATACGTTCATGCCTGAAATTCACAACAAAATGGATGCAGCTTAAATTAAAAACAGAAATTTGTTAACAAAAAACAAGGATATCACCTTTCTTAAATTGCTATGGCACTTTATTTAGATTTAGATCAGCAATGGCTTTAAACAATGTTGAATGTCAGCCACAGATCTAAGACAGAAATGGTGTAAATCTAAGCTTAAAACACAAGGAACACTTCTAGTTAAGTTAATAATGCTAATTATTAAAGTAGAGGCATGTTTGTGTAGCTTAAACACTGATAATATATTTATATATTTCATCTTTCTATGTAATAATTCAACCATTTGCCCAATGTGAGGTCAGCAATAGATTAAGAACCAACAGTGAAGAAACCTAGACTCCAAAAAAGTTCTCTATTTCTATTTTGCTGAGTCATGATATAACTATTAGCATAACAATATTTGCATATTTTTCAAAACAAACATAAATATTCTAAGCTATCTGAAAATCTTTACTCAGGTTGTCTAACTTTTTTACTTTGTGGGAACGCTCAACATATTTTAAGATATACCTTTATCTAATATCATACACCTATTTTATCATTTAAAACATTTTCTAGCCTTAATTTATATTTTATTTCTGCAATAGATTTGACCAAATCTGATTAGTTGATCATGAGAATAATTTCTAATGATAAGTAAAACTATTAAACCGTTCCTTCCATACTTGGTAAAAATCTGATCTAATAAAAAAAATCTAATCAAATCTGAAATATCTGGTAAAAATCTACAAACTTTAGTGCATTCTGTTGGGATTTAATGCAATTTTAAGGATGTCCTGCTTCAGTCCTCAAGGGCAGGCATCATGCAGCTTTTAGTTGTGTCCTTTCTCCAACACAGCTGATTGAAATGGCTGAATTAACTCCTCAGCAGGTCACCCAGCTCTGCAGATGCCTGCTAATGAGCAATTTATTTGTATAAAGGATTTCAAATCATGTAAATCTAAAACATGCAGGACAGTAGTTTTTGAAGAATGACTCTGAAATCACAGTAATAAAGCAAAACAAAATAGGGCATCATTTGGAAAGGGGAAAAAAAATATTGCAATTAAGCACACTAAACTGCACACTGAAAACTGATATTGACCTTGAATCTCCATCTGATCTGACTGTGCATTGAAAATCTTGCAAAGACTAACTGCAAAAGAGCTATGATTACTGTGAATATCGATTCAGCAGAGATTTAACTAGGGGGGCTTGGAAAAAGATGCATGTCACACTTTATGGATTTTCTTTTCTAAAAAGAAAGGAAAAAAAACCCAGAAGAAACAAGCAGCATTTGCCTCCCCTTCAAAAGTATACACTTTGTTTAGTATAAAATCCCAACAAAATACATTTAAGACAATGACTAAGCAATGCATTTAAAATTATATTTCTTCAAGGTTTAATAAAATTGTTTTTGGTATTTTATAGCTAATCTACACTTGCTATGTTGTTTAAAACGAAAAATGCAATAAGAGTATCAAAACCAATCAAATTATGACAAACAGCCTTAAACAATTAGCCTTTTCTACAATGAGGGGAACAATATTAAACTGTCTATATCAGATAATGCAGATATCTGGTAAATAAAAAAAAAAAAAAAACACGATCACATCTACAGCAGAATCTGACTGGACTAAAAAGCTTCTACTGTGGCATATATGAAGCCACTAATACATCCATTACCTGTCATTACTGTCTGTACGTCTGTCTGTCTTTCCATGATGGCTTTAATGACAGAGATAGGATTAACATATCATGATCACACAAATACAAACCAATGTGTTACACACAAAGCCCAGCTAGCACCTTCACCGATGCAGCTGCAGGATTGAGGTGATGTTTGTTTGGGGACGACGGGGCTTGTAAAACATCCAGAAAGGAGGGTAATTTGGATTATACAGCCTGCAAAGGCTAAGCTGCAGTGTGCCATATAAAACCGACTGACATAAAGGGGGAGGTTAGTTCTTTTTCAGGGGGTTTACAAGCAAAATGAAACATTTGAAGGTAGAAATGCAGGACACATAGATGACAACTTGTCATCCTTGTGGGTACAATACCTTGTTTTTTCAATTAATCCAATTTGCTGATTGAGATCTATGAGTTCAATCAGTTGTTTCTGCAGGATTTTCTCTCTGCCGACAGTCTGTTTGATGAACACATGCTGGAGCAGGTCTAACACATTTGGTCTCAGCTCAAAGTCCTTTATCAGACATCTGTGAGGCAAAAGAAAAGAAGAAGTGCATCATATTTGCATTACATTTAAAAAATGTTAATCCTCTCAGGAGCAGTGACACTTGCAGCCACACTCACTTGCAGATAAAGTCATTAAAGTCATCTGACCAGAGCTCCGGCTGGTGGAGAGTAGGCGGGGGGTTTCTGTTAAAGGAAGAAATGGAAAAGATAAATAGATAGATAAGATGGGATTTAAGTGGGTGGAGAACAAAGGCACCCAAGGGAATGATGGAGTGAAATCTCAGCACTGGACCAATTTGTCACTGAGGACATCAAGAAGTGTCTCTTTAGGTGAACTGAAGTAATAAGTTACCTGTGTGTCTGGGTGGCATGGACATGGCTGATTTTTCTAATGAAAAACACATTTTTTCTTTTTCAATACAGATTTCCATAAAAGCTTCTACTGGAAAAAATCCCACCAAAACTGTTAAACAGACACACTGAGCACTTTTGCCTTAAAAACACTTCTTAGCAGTCAAATGACTCACTATAATTCCTCGTTCTGCTTTAAGCACCTTTTTACAAGAGGGTTTCTGGCACATGGGAGGGAAGTCAGTGCTGCCTGCTAATGCATGCGGCCTTACAAACAGCAGCTCTGACAGCGATAAATTGCCCTAATGAGAGGGCATACATCTCCTGTTTATCACACAAAACAGCAAATATAGACAGTAGATGCATCAGGCATTTATTTGGCCTGTGTTCATCTAAGTAGCGACTATTAAAGAGTTTTTTTTATTTTGAACACAAGCAGGATTTCGTAGAAATGAAGCGAGATGACGAGCAGGAGTTTTGCAATGCCTTATCACAATGCTGACGGATTTTTAGTATACATGCAATATACTGTTTATAATAAAATGTGCTTGTTTATTCTAATTGTATGTCAGAAAGGTTGTGGATACTTATAAATCATTTACACAGGATAAAGTTGAGTATAAGATTAAAGTTGGAAGTTTGCTGATAAACACCAGTTAATTTGGGGGGCTCTGTTATAGTAAATGATTTTACTACAACATGATAGAAACATTTTTATCATTCAACATTGACAAAATGTAGCTTTATATTTTTAAAAGATTCAGTTGAAAATGCTTATGTTTTCCTAACATTCAGGCAGGAAAACTGTTTAAAATGAGTTTCCTTGGGCATATGTATGCATGGAATAACACAGCAGTCCCCCCTCCCCTGCTTGTTGCTGCTAACTGCAGGTCAGTTAGCTCAAAGAAACACAGAATAGTTTGTCTTTAATTACCATGTCCAGATAATGTGTCATTTTGTAAACAATGCTTCAACAAAAGAGTAGAAACTCAAGGGATAGCTACTTCATTAGCTGAGTAAATACAGCTGCTAATTGACAAGCCAATATCAGTTTTTATACCCCTGGTATCACTCTATAAACTCTACAAAATGAAGAAAGGCAGAAAGTAGATCGTTTTTTTTTTAAATTAATAGTTAATTTTAGATTCTAAATTCATTCCTTGGATCATTACATTAACAATGCAACTAGAGGTGGGCATTCCCACTTTGCTGCTCATGATACATCAAGTTAATCAAAAGGAAGCATCTGTATCAATTACAGATACAGATACTTAAATTTGGGAGAGTTTTCAATTAAATAAATAGGTAAACCCTAGAGATGAGCGAGGCATCTAAAACCTTTAATAAAAAATGAACACTTTAGTGTCATCTTCATAGAAAGACAACTGTGGCCAAAAGAACAGTGCTACTACCAGCTATTCTTAGAAACTGGAGGGAATAAAATTAACTGTTTAAAAAGTAGAAATTCAGAAAAAAAATAAGGTTAGGATTTAGTTTTATCATTTGTAGGCCCAATTGATTCTACTCCAGAAACTCTCGTAAATGTTGTTTCTATTCACACAGGCTCAGAAATGAAAGCAGCAACAGCTAAACTAGTGTGTGTTTATAATGCTAACATTTCATTAATATCAAAATTTTATTAAAGAGCATGGCTAAACAAGTGCAACTCTAAAAGTTGTATAGTGTAGTTGTTATTATGTATAACAGTATAAAAAATCCTGGCTGTAGTGGCCTTTTTTTATGTGATCATTTAGGAACTGTAATAAGGAAAGAGGGAAGGAACAATGGCGTAACTATCTGTAAGCAGAGTATGCAGTTGCTTAGGAGCCCCTGACCTCTTAGGGGCTTCGTCATTGACTCCTGGTAGGCCCCCTATGCAATTGTGGACTAGGACGTCTCTTTCCAAATGTAATGGTGCGAAAAATTAGACTTAAACCCACCTGATACTAGATTGACTGACCAGACCTTATTTATACCCCAACACAACACAATACGACTTGGAATTATGGGTAATCCAGAGCGTAGATTAACTACTTCATATGGGGCCCACCCAGATAATGTTGCTTACGGGCCTATTGTTGTGTCATTACGCCATTGGGAAGTCTTTCTGGATTGAGATTCAAACCCGGTACGGCAACCAGGGTTATCTTTTCTAACACATTGTGACGTTTAACAGAAACATCATGATGAGGAATCCAAGACGAATGTTTTTTTGGGGTTTGGTACAGCAGAACATGATAGCAGGTATGCACAAAATAGAGTTTTAAGACATTGTTTAATAAATCCTTGAATGTCCAGTCTATCACCTGGATCTCTACTTAAAGCTCTACTTCTAAAAGAGCTTTAATAAACATGTTTCAAACTATATATACAATTTAAAGCAGAAATCTAAAGAGATAGAAAATGTGATTAGGCTTAGCAACATCGATATGAGGGAGCTGACCTCAATGAGCTAATGCTCATGTAATCAAAATAAATCAGACAGAGAGGTTGAGCAAATGCCCACAGCATCTCTCTTTCTAACTCTGCCTGCAGAATAAAGCCAGAGCTGTGAAAGGAGGGAGGTAAGGAAAGTGCAAACAGAAAGCCTGCAGCTCTGGCTGCAGCCGTCACACAGATTCAGGGAGGTCTGTGTGATGGCTCCTGTAGAGCACGACCCCCACGGCAAACTCTTCTTCCCTGGGACTGCATGTGTATGCATGTACACCTCTGGTCATTGACCGACACAGAGCAGATTGGATGACAGCAAGTGAAAGTGCTTATGCAGGTCTCACAGCAGATGTAGAGCGATAAACAATTAGGTTTTCACCTTCAGAAAAAAACAACAACAGATGAGTTCATGGGAGCTGGGCACCCAGCCTCCCCCCAAAGGGATTCGTGTTAGGTAGTTGGATAAGCTTTGGCAAGGAACATGCAATAATTAAATCAACAATAGGCATATTTCTAATTGATATTAAATCTAAATGCAAAAGAAAAAGTAAACCTTCAATCGCAGATCAAACTTTGATAATTTGGGTCACATTTCTATAAAAAGTATGTCTTTAAAAACTATCAAAAGCGCATTGTGTAAATTGGATCATTATGTTTGTCATTTGGTTATATCATATTTAATGGCTGCAGTGTTCAAACTTTCAACCTTGTGGAGAAAAATCTGCAAGTTAATTGTATTTTATGTCCCTACGTAGCAGTATGAACCTTTAAAAACTTAAACACCAAAAAAAGGCTTTTACTCTGAAGGTTTTATTTGAACCCGTTGAGCAATACCCGTAATTACATTTAAGTGAAAAAGGAATACATCACATATTTTATTTACGGCAACAAGAACAGAATATCAGCCACTCTTTATTTTAGCCAAGCATAATAAATAGGATCAATCAAGTAAATCTTTGAGGAATAAAAGGTGATTTTAGGATAATTGGATCTCTGAAACCTCCAGGTTTACTTTTATTCTTGAGTCAAGGTCTCTGACCACATAAAATCATTCCAGGGGCCAGACATGGCCCACAGACCACACTTACAACATAATTGGATTTAACTTTTTTTTTCATAACTCAGTCTAGCATAACATGTTTACAGGTTGGCACTGTTAGTTCTTTATGATACAACAATCAGCAGCTTTTTCTTACTCACTGCTATAATAAACGGGGGTGAGCTATAATTAGAGCCCAAGATGGCTGATTATAATTATGAATCGAGGCTTACCTAGGGATTTTAAAAAGGGCTCTCATTGGGTGGAGGTCAGAAAGAGGGGGGTCTCCATCTCCCAACTCTATAGCGGTGATGCCCAAGGACCAGACATCACACCGAGCGTCGTAAGTTGAGTCCAGCTGCTGCTCACAAGCTATGACCTGCAGGGAGAGAGCGAAGAGCAGAAGCTGTAATGGATCACATGCAACTCTGAGCTTAGAGTGAAAAAAAGGGTTTTCAGTCACACAATTTCCTATCTTGCCACATATGTTGGTGTTTGTAAATATGCATTTTTATATATTTTTGCTCTCTATGGTCTGCAAAGAGCATGTAGATTTTTCTTGACTCTTACTTAAGCAAGTTTAATTAAGCAATTAGCAGGTTGAGGTGAGTGAACAGAGCACCAATGTTGCTACAGAATAGGTTATGGTGTTCTGTTGGGTCATTGCTAGATTTTCGTCACAACCTGCTTAGATAGAACCTGTCTGACAACAAGATGGAGGCTAAAACTATTAGCAAAACATTATGCCCTAATAAAAACAATTTCAAAAGCAGAAGAGAAACAAAGTCATGTGTAACATCTATCAGTGATATTGCATAGAGTTACTTTTCCCTAAGGAGACCTAAACAAAATTTAATCAATAACAAACCATGAGTGCTGTTTGTACAACATAGAATTATTACCTAAGCTCAAGTACACTTTGGTTATGCAGTTGAACAATGCTCCAATAAAACATAGCAATTTTAAAATAGGTATTTTGCGTGATCTAGTAAAAGTACACTCTTAAATCCAATTGAGCAGCTGTGGCATGACCTTAAACCGGGCTCTGTGCTGGAAAACCATCTAAATTGGCTGAATTTTTTTTTTAACAAAAAAAATCATAAAAACTAAAGAGAGGCAAGGTTACCCCACTGTAATGTAAACATGCAATGTTCTCCATGCAAAAGTTGATCGCAGCTGTTTTGAAATAGCGTGGCACAAACAGATACTAAGTATAGATGTAGCTTTTTTGTCACATATGACAATATTCATTTGGATTGCTGCATTTCCTTTAAAAAAATTTGATTATGGTTTAAACACACCGATGTTTACTTCACCTTACTTTACTGTGCGTAGATGCTCTGCTTCAAAAACATGAAGAAATCACATTTACATTTATGAACTATTAAGAACCTTTGATGAAACCTCTAATAAATAACAGGAAACTGCGTCCTTGAAAGTAAAGGTTATTTTTATTCTCTGTATCTAAGCTAAATCTTCTTTTAAGTTGAGCAATATCAGAGGTCATAAAAGGACTCTCGCCGCTCAGCCAAAAGCAACTACTTAACATCATGTACTCAGCAAATTGAACACAGACAGAGGCGCACACTTCTTCAGTCAATCATACTTGTCCTGGGGGTAAACATGGTACCTAATCTAAAACATGAATCATCCGAGTGGGAGGCATGAATGCACATCCACAGAACAACCCCCCTCCACAATACATGCTTTGGTATTATTGTAAAATGCCTGACATCTAAACAATTTGCTTTCCCTGCTCTCGGTGAGTATGTATTCAGAGAAAATTAGGAAAGAAACCATTGCCATCTTACCGGGAGACACACAAGTACTCATGTGTGTCAAAGCAGAAACATGCATTATCACATTTCCTCCCACGATTTGTGAAAACAACAACAAAGTCAGAACCATGACCATTTATAAAGCTTAAATTAGTAAAGGGAAACAGTGTTAGCTTACAAAAATATCCACTTACCCTGAAATCAAACTAGTTATGTCTTCTTCACCTCTAATTCACTCAGCTAAGAGTTGTTTGGCGAAAGACAGAGCTTCAAGCAATGTTCTTTCTTCAGACTTCTTCGATAAACATGCAAATTAAATGAAAATCCTTGAACGACTAGTTATTACGTCACTCCACCTGTGGTCTAATACTTGGTCTGCACAGCATGCAAACGGTATGGAAAATTAGCATTTCAATTTGTGTGTTAATGGGGCAGCATTCAGACAGACAATAGACGAAGGAGCAGTGGTTACATAGTGTGTTGGTTTAGTATAACTCTATCCAGCAAAGGTTGCAAATGACTCCTCTGTTTTCCTCTAGGTAAGCTTTGAGGTTAATTGCACTAATGGCTGGTTATGTGATGCCTCTACCTTTGTGGTTTTTTAGAGCTGTTTCCTCATTCAGTCCAATGAAATTTAAATGAAAGGTTAAACAGGTTTGCTTTCCAAAGGATTTACTTGGTGGCTATTCTATTTCTGAAGACCAAGGGCCTTACATACTATGATCCTAAGGATTGTTAAATTGTTAAGTAAACACAATATTACAAATGCAATCATTAGGCCTATAGTTGGAATTGATAACATGTGCAAAAATATTCTGTTTAAGTGGGGATTTTGCGTCTGCTACCTGCCATCACCAGATTTCTGGAGAGTGTAGAGTAGGTTTATTATGAGTGTCTTAAAGGCAGACTCCTTTCATAACAGCACTGCACACAGATGGAAGGTGTTGTTATGTGGAGAGAGAACAGGCAGAGAAGAGGGGAGGACTTTAAGGCACAATCTTGTCTGAAAGTGGATCTGGATCTTTCTGAATGTTGCAAACAGTAAAACACTCCATCCAATTTTTTTTAGACACAGGAGGCAAAAGTAAAAGTAATTTTTTTCTTTTTTTTGTTGCTTTTTTTGACTCAGTATGAGAATTATATAAAGGGAAAAACTAGTAAGTATGCAAGAAGCAGTTTCCCAGCGAAATAAAAACATTGGGTGGACAATGTGTGTTTTTTTCTTTGCTGTACAGTCTATTTAAAACTTTAAACTGCATGCTTTCACAGCCATTAACATGACTATTTCTATTCTATTCTATTCCATTTTGATACTTGATACTTTGTTAATATTGAATTGAAATTATATTGTTATGTTTTTACGTAGAACTTCATTTCTTGCACTTCTGCTGAACACATCACGTATGCTAACATGTTTATGTTAGCCTATTTAGCAAGCAACACAAAATATTATTGCAGAAAATGTGTATATATATATATATATATATATATATATATATATATATATATATATATATATATATATATATATATATATATATATATATATATATATATATACACATTTTAAGGATTGGCGTCTTTGTAGAAAAAAAAACAACAGAAAACTGCTAAAAATTCCCAGATTGGAACAGACACAAACTCTATATCAGCCTACTATAAAAATGAAAAAATGACATGAAAGTGTAATGACCTAAAATGGTTACTTTTAAATGTAATCATTTGTGTTCAATGACTGTATGTACTTTGGGAGCATTGAGCCATGGTTAGATAGAACATGAATGATGGAGGTTGCCATTTTTCTCTGCACATTGTGTTTGACAGCGTTATCTCTTTGATCATTATGAACTGAACTGCCCACTGGGATCTGCTCCAGGCTAATGTAGTGGAAAAAGATGAGGCTGGGGGAGCATTTATGAGGCCGTTTTCATGTACCTCGGGAGCCATCCAGAAGGGAGTTCCTACTGAGGTGTTTCTCCTCAGACGGGTATTTGTCAGCTGGGCTGAAACACCTGCAGGGAAGAAAATACACACTTCAGTCATCTTAGCCTCAAGGCTCGGTGCAGAATATGCATTGCATCTGTCTATTTATGTGTTTTGTTTCTTACAAAGCTAAGAGCTGCAGATGAAAGTGATGATTTGTCACAATGGTTACAGAAAAAAAGAGCATGCTGCTGAAGTGTTACAAGGAAGCTTTTAAATCTGCCGTGTATTGTTATAATAGATTTGTTACTATAGTGGCAAGTAAACAAAATAAACTGTACATACAGAAAGAAACATTAAAATGATTGATTACTTTGAGTTACAAATTTCTTTCTGGCTGCAGATGACTTTGTTGGACATCTCAAGAACAACATTTGAATATAATGTAAATGTAAACAGCCCTGGAAGGCTGCAGATACTCCACCATCTTGCAAGACAAGACGTATCTTAAACTGTCAGTTTAGATATTAGAAAAGGGTGTAAGCATCTGTGACAGAAACTGAGAGGTAGGGAAGGGTCCTACATCCTTATTTGTGGCATAAATATCCTAGAACAGATTATGCTGACTCACAGATGTGATTTCGGTCCAAATCAGTGTCAGACCATGTTGGGATATGTCCCATGGCCAACTCTTGCTGAAGAAAGAGTAAAACCCAGAAACAAGCCCAGTTTCCAGAAATATTAACTGCTGACGCATTGAAGGTAGCGTAGGTGGGACACTATACTGCTGCAGGAGTAAATAATGGAAAAAAGGGACTTGGTTAAAGCTATTTTGCAAAAAAAAGCCAAGTCATAACTGTGCAAAAGATAGAATATTCTTAAGCTTGAAATAAATTTCTGTGCAAAACTTTTGGATTTGGACTTGTAGAACAAAAACATGGGAAATAAAAGATGCACCCACTGAAGATTTTTATGGTAAAATGCACTTAAAAGTTTCAGATAGAACTAATTAAAATAGCCAATACAGATAACCTGAATTAATGTTGTGTTTTTCACATGACAATTTCATTTGTTAAGTACAAAAGCTACCAAGAACAATGGGAAATATGCCAAAATATGACTTTCCCCTTTTTAAATCACCCTTGAATTGTGATCACCTCAGTTTCTGAACTGTAAAAGTAAGGAAATAACTGATTACCTCTATGACTATATAAGGTAGGCCAAAAGTTCACCCCAGCTTTAAAGGAATTAACGAAGGAATGTGAAACATTCAGAGGGATCTTGGACAAATTAGCCTTTGTGTATTATACCCCAAGAAAAAAGAAATTTCCTTCACTATAATTCATACAGGAAGTATTTCAGATTATATGGACACTGCAATGGGAAAGTAGAACAGGAAAGGAAAAAGGAGAAAAGATGAAAGAAAGCGGAGATAAAAGGGAAACAACGATAAAACATCTTCAGTCTGCTTCATCACATGCAAAGAGATCTAAAAAGAACAGCACAGCCAACGGATACAGTATAATAGATACAACAAAATAGATCCTTGATACTATTGCTGAAGTATATGTAGTATTATTTAATATGACATGCGTACTGTGGTAGCTGAAGATAAAAATATGGGCTTTCTGTGTGGAAGTGAATCTCTAAGTACCTGGAACCAAGCACCTGTAGTTGTTTGTGAGAGTGCACTTGTGCATGTAAAGTTTATCCAAAGGGAAAATGCCCAATGCTCAAAAACCAACCTGCTTCTTTGTGAAAATGTCATTGCTCTCCAAAACCTAATATCTGGTTTAGCCTATCTTGAGATTTATTTGAGTTTCCCATACAGGACGGGAAAACAATGATATCAGATTCCAGATTTTTCTTCATCCTGACATAAAGGGGGCTTTAAGGAAATCAGAGCCTTTCATCACAACGGTTAAATGTGTTATGACATTATCCTGAAAAACTTATGATGATGATGAGTGCTACTGGCTCAGCAGATTTCTACTGTAAAACCTGATCTTGTGCACCTTCCAAATCACCACGACAGCACAGGATGGAAGGAAATCCAGAGCAAAACGTCTCAGTGAGAAACATCAGAGAGGATTATAATCGTGTGTAGGAGGGAATGTAAGCAGAAAGCTGACACATGCAAATCTGGAGACATTTACATCACCTAACATCAGTCAAGCCAAACTCATAAAAATATTAATCTGATTATCTTCACTCATTTATCAATCACTCCTAAGCCCGTTGCATGGACATATGATTAAGTTGGAGTAAGGGTAAGCAAAACAACTCATGCTAAAGCTCCGTCTTTTTTCACTACATTAGCCAGGAGTGGAGCCTGGTGGGCCCCACTTAATAATCATTACAGAGATAAGACTGACAATTAAAATATTCATGAGAGAGCCATGAAGGAAGATCTCTCCTGATTCTTCCACTGCTCTTTTTGGTCCATCTTTTTGCTATTTAGTGCCTCCGTTGGTGATGAGTCACAGTAGGGGCTTTATCCCCTCAGCTGCTTAGTGAAGCATCCACCCCTCCACATGTAAAAAACCCACATTAATCCCAGCACGATGCAGAGCAGAGTAAGCCTCCAGTCGTTTGTCTTGAATCACAGTTTTCATCAATTTGCTTGTTGTGACAACTATCATTCTATCACCCAAACCGCTCCATCAATATATATTCACTGTATAAAAATAGTATAAATCAGACTAGAAATCATGTTTTAGATGAAAAATAAACTTTTGGAGAATTCAGTAAACTTATACTCTTAAATAAACAAAGATTATTGTCTGCAAACAATGGGAATGCATAGAGGATGGTTTAGTGCGTATCTCATGGTTGATTCACAAGATTCTGGTAAGTAGAGGCACAGCTGTATTATTATTAAGTCTTTTAAATCAACACCACAAACACACAGCTTCCTTATCAGAAATCACAGGAAATCATAAACCATAAGTCATCAGGAAGATAATTTTGGGCCTCGGCACGTCTTGTTCATCCTTTGGTTTGGGTACATTTTCAAAATGCCTGAGAAAATGAAATGGTCCTAGTCAGAGCTGGTAAAGAGTGTCATTATTCACAAAGAAGTGACTCCTGCACCCAGAAGGAACATAAAAAAAGATCACAGTTGACAACGGAGGAAAAAAAGACTATTGTCCCATGGCTAGATGTATTTAAAATAGAGGTGTTTCACCAACATTTACAATGTTACATTTGAAGAATAGTACGGATGTAATGAAGAGGCTTTTTCATGTTGTGGGGGAGTTTTGATTCATCAGTTGCTATAAACAAAATGAGTTTAAGTGGAAATATTAAGCTATATCTCAATACATCAGCCAGAAATGAGATGCCTTGGTTTAAATTGGTCTTCTCAATGGAGGACGACCCTAAGCATTATTTACAAAAGAGTTCAAAGAGATAACAAAGTCAAGGATTTGAAGTGGACATCACAAAGTCCTGATCTCAATCCCATAGAAGTACAGCAGATAGGGGCTCGAAGTGAGGAAGGCAGCTGACAACCTGGAGACAAACACACCAGTTCTGTCAGGAAGAATGGGCCAAATTTACAGTGAATTATGGTAAGAAGTTAGTGACAAAACAGAAACAAATATTGGTTGTAGTTTTAAAGGCAATTCTGTTAAAAACTAATTGCTTGTAAACGTCAGTATTTTAAGTAAAGCATATCTGTCAAATATTATAGAAAATAGAAATAATGTTAGCATTGTTGCCTTAAACAGCTAGTCTGATTTGATGCCAGAGAGAGATCATGTAAATATTTGGTTTTAGTTGTAAACTTAAGCTCTCTGCATGGTAGGACTATATTTTTTTGTAGCAGGGATTTAGATCAGTATCCTGCAACCTTTGTCTTAACTCAAAACATAAACCCAGACATAATTACAAAAAAAGGAGACAAGTTGAGATTATAGCGTTAAATATTAATCAAACGCACAAAGCTGAAGCTACACAAACTTTGCAAGACTTCTTGGGTCCCAAACTACTTCACACCAACTCCTTAACTCTGCTGCTACATTTTTGGTGTTTAAGCCAAGCGATACATGAGTCTTTGAGCAAAGTGATGCACCTTACATATAAAAGGCAGTGGTAGCGGCATCTCTTCTGCAGAGAGTGCATGTTGAATGACGAGAAGCCATGATGTGCTACATCAAACCTGGCACAGGACGTCTTCTATCAGAATGACACACAGCAGTTTGAATATATGGGAAAAAAAAGTGTAGTTCATTTAGCTTTCAAATAGTTCTGGTGAAACTCCTTTTCAGCACCCGAGCTTTCCTTTGGGTCACTGAACATTTTTTACATCTCGCCCTCAGTTAGTGAGTTTTACATAATGTGTTTCCTTTCAAACAAACTGCAGCCTATCACAACATCCCTGGAAGTTGCAAAGCATCTCCAGAGAGCATATGTAGTGATTTTGCCTAGGCACTCACTGGCCACTTTATTTGGAACGTTTTCTCAACTGCTTTCCAACAGAAATAGTGAGTCAACTGTTTGCATCTCAGAGATTCAATGTATTTCAGCATCCAGATGGACTGAAAAGGACTTGCTGAATTTTAACCTGAGTATCAGAATGGGAAGGATAGACCATCTACGAACAAAATGTTTAACTTTGAAGGAAAAGGAGATAGACCACAGAAAAAGTATTTATATGGACAATAACAGGTTGGAAAAACATGCCTGGTTGGATAAAGATAATCAGTTCACTAATTAAATGGTGGCGTCACTTGTTTCCCTGCGTCATATCAATGATTCCCACTAGGAGTGCTGTAAATGTATAGGGGAAAGATTCCCACCTTAGATCTACAGGAACTCTGTGATGCTTGGCGAGTGTTTGAGTCAGCTTTAATGACTAAGTAGGTTTAGTCTGTGCCTCACAAAGCATTCAGTGAGTTCTGCTAATATAATCGCTTTAAAAGGGGCTTTTAATTTGTGGCCTAGTCTGCCTCTGCAGCTTTGTTTTGCTCACTGTGGATGTGTGAAAAAAAAACAAAAACAACAAACAGCAGTTTTTTTCTCGACGATTTAATGATTTTATCACATTTTTTAGAACTTGCTCTATACCAAAGCCTAAATGTGATTGTTGTCCTTTGTTACTTTTTGTCTTATAAAGCTGCTTTAGAAATAAACTTTATGTACGTCATACTTTACTAAGTTATGTTCCACTGAACTAAATAAAAATTCTCCATCAAGCAACAAATAGAAAGTTTTGAAGCATCCAATGCATTTTCTTATGAACAGCAATATATATATATATATATATATATATATATATATATATATATATATATATATATATATATATATATATATATATATATATATATATATATATATATATATATATATATATCATAGTTTTTTGTATTGGCCAAGTTCTGACATCTGATTTTGAAAATTACAACCTTTTTCCCTTTTCATACATATTACATTGTTTTCACAATAGATTTAATCTGGGCTTTATTACGTCTTTAGTTCTCTGAGTTTTTTTAAAACTGTTTACTCTATAAATCTTTATACAAACCCTTATTTATTGTGTTTTTCAAATAGCTCTTTTCAAACAGACATACCGATAGCCCCCATGCCCTTCTAGTCTTTTCATATTTGGTCTCCTAATTAAATACTAAGGAAAATATATAGTTATAAATATTTTTTAAAAATATTAAAAGTGTGACACATGTTTACATTCAGCACCCTCACCCTTAAACCCCTAAATAGAATCCAACCCAACCAATGGCCCTTAGAAGTCTGGCAATTAGTACATTATTTAGTCTAAGTATAATTTGGGCTGTTCTAATAAGTCCTCTGGGGATTATAAAATAAAACATAGCAAATATACAACATGTCAAGAGATTTAAGCCTGAATAGGTTTCAAGACGACATGTCAGTCCATCAGCAAAGATCACAGCGCAACACAAATATGTATGCGACACGACGAACATCTGGAAGGTGAGTTTCTGGTCAGATGAAACTACAGTAAACTGGAATTTTTTTTGTCTGAAAATCATTTCTCCTTAAACACGTCTATCCCTTCAAATACACCCGGTGATGGCAGCATAATGCTCAGGGACAAGAAAACTGGCCAGATGTAGTGACAAGACAAACCTTGATTTGTGGAAAAAACTGGATAGAAACAGTTAATGGGAGTGTGAGTGAAAGATGGAAAACCTGATTAGCCTGTTTTTAATCCTTCAAAACTGTGAGCTGGTGTCATTAAAGGAATTTAAAAGTTATCCAATTCAGTCACCCAACTATAGCTGTTCCCATTATTTTTATTTTAGGTGTTTGGAAAGGTTAAGCCCAAATGCACTCCTGGAGGTTAAAAACCAAAGCGACAGTAATAATTGTGGTTCACCGTGAAGCCAAAGTGTCCTGACATTAGCTGAATTGTTTGGACTAGATCGTAGACTAACAAAAATTTAAGAAATGTTTAAAAATCAAATAAAAAATGAAATGCTGTCCCTTTAATAAAATATCAACGATTAAACATTATCTACGAAGTTATACTGTTCCAAAGCTCTGCAATAAACTGTGAGAGTAAAACAGGTACGATGGTCATGCTGAGCATTAGTGAATCCATTAAAGGCCCCTCTACTCCTCTTTATATAAGAGCTGCACACTCTGAGCTTCAAGAAAAGGCTTTTAAGAGAAGCCCCACCATTAGCAGACAAAATGCAAACCTACACGCAAGTTGAACGAGGTGGTGGGGTGGATTTTATTTGTCATGAAAACAGGCAGCTGTTTTTATTTTCCCTTTACAGCGCCTGAAGAAAACTAGGGGTGAGTCATCGCCTGTAAATAGTCAGAATCACTTTGCCTATCATGAGCTCTTCAGTTTGGTTGCCTCATTTGGTTAAGAAAGCTGAAAAAGCAAATGAGCGAAAGCACAGGAAGAATAGGTGCCCTTTGCTGTCTGGGGAACAATAGCAAAGATAGGGTGTAATGAAAAGTGTAATCATCAGCCGTGCTGTTGAGCTGGTGTAATTTTGTTTCGTCCTCTCAAGGAAACTAATTGGCGGTGCAGTTTATTTGGCAGGCAGCTCTCAGTAATGGGTTTGACCCTCTTCTGTTAAACAGAGCCAGAACACAATTTGGGCGGATAAAAACCAAAAAGAAACATTGTGTTAAAGAATCTCTCTTCATACCAAAGTCCACGAGTTTGATCCCTCCATGCGTTGTCAGCAGGATGTTATTGCCTTTGACATCCCTGTGGATGGTTTTGTTGATATGCAGATGCTGCAACCCCTGTGAATAAAAGATGTTAACATTTTTTTTTTTTTTCTTTCAAGCACCTGTCAATATAATTGCCCAATTTATACCCCTTTACAACCCCTCCCCACCATCATGTTCCAACCACCTCCCTTACCATCAGAGCTTCATGCAGAATAAAGGCAATAATGGCTTCTTCCATTCTCTCTCCTCTTTTTAGCATGCCTTTGGCCAGGTCTGTCACAGAGCCACCATTGCAGAGCTGAAATCAGTAGAAAAAAATGCAACAAAGTCAAGAAGGACAAAAGAGCAAAAAACTCAACATGACTCAGCTCAAACAGTTCAGCTTATGCAATATTTCCAATCTATACAGATAATTTTCACATAAAGAACCACTGAAGGATGAAACCAGAAGATTTCAGGGGGAGGAAGAGTAATTCTGTCAGTCTACAGAGGCTTATCCTCTAGTGTCAGCTTAGTGGGGAAATGTGCACGGTTTAATCTGAGCTTTAATGACTAAGGAGGGTAAACATGCAAATTGTCCTAAAATATACTGTGTGAAATCTTCTCAAAGTAAACATTTATATTAGAAAAACTGTAGGTAGGGCTCATTGATTATGTATATTATTATTTGCTCTCGTATTGATTTGTCTCGGGATGCTTTAAGCTGTTTAGTTCTAATGGTTAGATTACAGTTAATGTTAGTAAGCTCACCAAGATAAAAAAGTTATTGCATAAAACCAATATAAATGCAGAAATGTTACATGATGAGAATTTTTTGGTCAATCTAATCACTGGAGAGGCAGTGATGACGCTGGCTACAAGAAACGTAAGATAAGAAGCAGGCAATGCTAAGAACAGACTGGAAGGAAACCCTGAACCAGGAAAAGGTTAACAAGCAGCAGAGATGATTGATGCAACGGTTTGTGGAGATTCTTAATGTGTGGTGCTGCAGATACACTCCATGCTCATAATGGTTGGTTTCCATTTCTGAACCTGCTCTGCACCGGTGGGCTCGGTTCTGCATGACTCTGCACGGTTCAGCTAGTTTCTAAAAGAACTCAATATCATTAGAGTCGTCATAAAAACCAAAAGGGTAACATGATGTGATTTGTAAGGGACACAAAACATAACACAAAAATGGAAGCAAAGACAAACCTGCTGCTTAGACTATGACTCTTAAGGGGTATTCACCCCAGCTAGTCCTTTTGCTCTGTTTTTTTCTTTTAATTGAGGCAGATTGTTTTCAAATTTTATTTTTTTGTAAATTAACTATAAAAAAAGTCATTTGTGATTATCTTAATCTTAACAATCCAATGGATGGATATGACTTGGAGCACAGATGCAGAATTCGAGTAAAAACTATGCTTAATCTAATATGCTGCATGTAGCACCTCTGTTCTGCAGATTTGCACTATTAGAGCTCCAGAATCACTGCAAGTGTCCAGAAAACATCATTCAATAAAGTTTTGCCACATTCTACTTCCTTATCCTATTTCGTTTCAAAGCAGTTGGAGATCACCTTTCAGGTGGGTTTGGTCCAGATAGGATTTTTGTTCATATTCAAACCTGCAAATAAGGTCCAAATCAAGGGAGAAATCGAATCAGGTTAGTTTAAAGTGGGCAAATTTTGGAAGGTATGATTATGCCATATATAATACTCAAAGTAAAAGCAGTACAGAAGAGCTGAAATCCACAGAGGGGTGAAAAACTGAAGCACAGGAGAGGATAAGATAATGATACCTGATGCTATAGCAGACATACACACAAAAATCCCAGTGAACAAACAATTAATGGCTGAAGATCTTATAATAACAAGAGTGCTATGTATGTTTTTGCTACAAATCATCAATTTTTGTGTCTTAATGAGTTTCCCAGTGATGGGATTTTTTTTCCTTGGTTTGGTCAACTTGCAGTTGGAGTACAATTTCAAAATGTGTGAAATTATGTCTAGTTTTCTCTCAAAGAAATAGCATTTAGCCCTGTAACAGCAAGGTAAAACTTTGAGTGAGTGGTACCCTAAAATGAAGAAGACCATTACATTGTAGGAGAAAACAGCTTAAAGACTATTTCTAACAAAAATGAATGGCAGAATCAGATCATTCTAATATAATCCATATAGCATAAAAGCCTCACATTTTGAATTGAAATAATGAAAGACATTGCATTTTGATGAGATTCTAACCTATTGTGGTGCACCTGTATTACTGACAGATTTTTACTGCAATATAAAGATCCTTGCAGCAAACAGGCGCCAAGTGTTTTTCCTTTGTGTGTTTGTAGATGTTTTCCTTTTTTTTTTTTTGATCTGCAACACTATATGGACTCTACTGGCAATAAATATCTCTCTTGGAAAATTACAGTAAATTACCCTGTGGGTTGCCTTGGCAACAATAATAACCCCTAATTTGGGCCTGTCTTCAGGAGATGCCAAAGGTATAAGAGAAATAAAAACATCAAGGATGACAATGTGCCAGAAGCTTGAAAGCAGAGAGGGTTGATTTTATCCGTAAATGTCGCTCATACAAAGAGACGTTCACTAGGAGTGGTTTAGGAATCCCTTGTCACTCATAAATAATACTAAAAAATGCTTATTATTATGGAGAATATTTCACTTGTATTGTATATTTATACCCATTACTGCATGAGATGAATGACCACTCTCTTCTTTTCAGTAATTAGAACAATGATTCACTTTCTACTGCCCATCTTAGGACGAGGTGTCAACCTCAAAAGATATTCATAAACATTCCTACAGTATCTTCAGTCACATCCATTGGGGAAATACAAATCAGCTCCCCACAACCTTTACTACTAGACTTGCATGTAGCTTGACTGCAGTTTGGAAAACCTTCTTCACTGTCACTTTTTCCGATGCAGTCATCCCTGCTATCCTATACTCACGTTTCTGAAGTATTATAAATTTCCCTTTTTTTAAAATCACAGCTGTGCTCAAAGTTTGCATGGAAGGCTCGACCTCAGTGGACTGCAATCAACCATACTGTAAATGGTCCATGCAGTGCACTGCATTGATGTCATTGTTACAGACACATCCCACAGGGAGGAGGCCTAGGAGATGACCCAGGGAATGCTAGCATAGGATCACCTCAGGCTGCCCCCAGCAGAGCTGGAGGAGCTGTCTGAGAGTGTGGAGTCTGCTGTGCCCGCAACTTGGTACCGGATAAAGAAGAAGACTAAGAATAAGAGTATGAGTACGATAAGTGCTCTTTGGCCACCATTAGATAGCAACTGCTTCCCAAAGGTGATGCATTAAATCTGATTTCTTATTTATTGAATTACTATTCATTACTGCCCCCATGTCCACATTAAGGCGATAGATGTTGGTCCCGGTAAAGACTTGTTTTTTTGGTTTGTTCCTAAATACTTTTTTTTTTTATTTCCCACTAAATATGGTCCCATTTGAACAAGTAACTATACAATTATTCTGCTGACTGACAATAGCAAAGTGGAGATTTTTAGAAAATGTTTTTTCTATCACATTAGGTGCAAAGTTACACAGCTGCAAAAAAAAAGAATATTTTACCAGTTGTAAAATGTGACTGAGTTAGCGTGATGGCGTGGGAATGCTTTGATGCTGCAGGACTTGGAGAAAAACAAGCAACAGAGCCATGTGTTTTGCAGGCTTTATTAGAACATCCTGAATGAAAACATCCAGTTGTCAGTTCATGACCTTAAGCTTCGACATCAGGAGAGTATTATGGTTTTGGAGTGGGCTTAACAAAGTCTGGAGTCAAATCAAATATTGTAGGGAGACCTTAACTAGACCTTTTATACAAGGAGACCCTTCAAAGAAAATGTAACAATTCTGCAAAGACTAATTTCCACTTAGTGCACTGGTATGAAAGAAGTTAAGGTAGAGTTACCTACATTATCTTTGACTGTTGGTAAAATTAGGAAAAGTTTCAGTGTGATATGGAAGTGAAATGCTTTTCACAGCACTGAATAAACTAACTGCTAATTTGATGTAATTTTGTCCCATTTTAGTTGTACCTTGTAAGAGTCTTTTTCATTAGTTTTTCTCACTCTCTCCCAAACATTGAGTAGAACTTATAGGCCTAGCTTGTATGATAAACCTCAAACAGAAACATAGAGCCTAGGGCAACAGGTTCAGCTGATGTCTTCAAAAATATTTCTGTTTATTTGTTGCTGAGAGTCTCTGGCCTTGAATAAGAGCTGGCATAAGGCTTTAACACTTTACCACATCCATTTTCTACCCATCTATCAATTACACTCTCCATCAACAACCCAGAGGGTCCTTGTCAGATAGATAGTATGCATTTGAACCACTGTAAGAGTAGTTTAGTCACTTCTACTCTTCTCTATCAGACATGCAGGCAATCTGCAGTCCAGCATTCAATACTGCTGAGGGATTTCACAGAGAACTCAGGACTTCAACAATTAGCTGCAGCGTACATCAGCCCATATTAGGTGCCATCATAATTAAATAATCCAGGGCAGAAACAGAGATCCACATTAACTTGTACTGTGATGTTTTAAATGTTAGTGGAGATATAGGTTTGTGGTCTTAGCAGCAGAGCTCACCATTGGACATCAGAGCTGGAAATTAACATTCATCTGCATGCAGGTTACACACGCCACATTAGATGCTTCAGGGATTGTGTGATTTGAGTTATATTTAGTGACCTTTAAAACATTTCCAAAAGTGATCATGAAGACAATGAGATTTAAGTTTCATTTCAATTTCCGTCATAATCATGATGACTTTAAAAGTTTTATTAGATCTGATATTTAGACTGTGCCATGCTCGAGAAATTCATTTTAGATTAATTGATAATCAGATAAGGCTGAGATGTTAGATTTTGATCACATTAGCGCGGGAACATTTTTAAATCTGTTTTGACAGGATGATCTCTAATGATTTACACTGAGAGAAGGATGGAGCAATGCAGAGCATAAAGCTAAAATGCAAAGCTCTTTTTTAAACAAATGCTTTTTTTTTGCTAGAAAATGTAAGCAGTACATGTTTCTATGGTTACCATGATAAAGATTTCAGGCAAAAGAAATTTTGATAGGAAGGGACAGAATGTTTGATTGAATATTTCAAAGCCACAGTTTTCAACTTTTTTTGTACCTTAAAACCAGACACGTCTTTACAATAAGATTTGCAGAAGGCAAATCAAAGCAAAAAAGTTAATCCCTAAATACAATACAAATGTATCTTGATTAAAACAAAACTTAAAAATTCTGAATCAAAAATAGGGTTCAAAAATTTGTTTAGAC